GTGCTTTATTCTTCTTCAGTAAAAGGAAAAGAATAATCCCGAAGGTTATTCTGAGATCCACAGAGGTGCCACTACCAACATGGGCTCAAAAGGTATGGGTTTTGGGGGATAAAGTTCCCTCCTGGATTTCCGAGAATGGTGCCACTTTCTCAGTTTCAGTGGGTCAGGCTGCTACTATCCATGACTTCAGTGGCAGGAGTGTAGTTAGTCTTACCTTATTAGGAATAATAATAGCTGTAGATTTTTCCTACATGTTATTTCCCAGGTTGAGGGAAGTACTCTTTTATTCTAGTTAGCCGATAGTTTTATTTGTGTCAGGAATATTTGTAGCATTTTATGTAATGCTTTTGCTGCATCTGTTGTAATCATACAGTTTTCTTCTTTATTCTTTTAATATGATGAATTACTTGATTCTTGAATGTTAAACTAGCTTTGCATTCCTAATATAAACCTCCTTTGCTCAGGATACTTTTAGTACATTGTTGGATTTATTTGCTAATTTTTTGTTGAGGATTTTTGTATTTACGTTCATAATAGGATCCTGGTTTATACTTGTTACGTGTTTGCATATGATATCAGAGAAAGTCCAGCCTTGTAAAATGAATTGGAAAAGTTTTCCCCCATTTCTTATTTTATAAGAAATATACTGTAAAGAGTAGATACTGTTTCTGTCTTAAATACCAGTGAAGCCATCTGTGCCTAGAATTTCTTTACTGAAAGATTTTCAAATTGTTTCATTTTTACAGGACTGTTTACAGTATCAGTTTAGTCTTGCATGACCTTTGTAAGATTTTGTCTGTTAAGGAATTTGTTCATTTCATCCACAGTGTTGAATATGTGGAAGTAATGTTGTTCCTAGTATGTCCTTATCCTTCAGATGACTTCAGGATCCATAATGATATTCATTTGTTATCTAGCACTTTTCAGATCCAGAATTTCTCCTTGAGTTCTTAAAATTTGTCTCTTCATTGTTGTTTTCTCTTTGTTGTGACATCATTGTTGGGATTTCCTTTAGCTCTTTCTCCGTGGTCCTTTTCAGCTTTCTGAGCATATTTGAGGCATTAAAAAAAAAAAAAAATCCTTTTGTAATAAGTCCAGTGCCTTACTTCCTCCTGAATTGTGTCTGCTAATTTTGTCTGTGCATGGGCTGTCCTTACTTGTTTCTTTGCATAGATTGTCCTGTTTTGTAATCAGACAAAGGAATTATGAGAAAACTATAGAGATGTACGTTCATTAACATAGATGCAAAAATCCTTAACAAATACTACAACCAAGTAGTATGACATATAAAAAGGATAATAAACTATAATCAAATGCATTTACCTTATGAAAGCAAAAATGGTTCACCAGTCATTGCTATTAATCATATTCATGGACTAAAGGAGAAAAAGTATATGGTCATCTCAATAGAAGAGGAAAAAGTATTGACAAAACCCAACAATTATTGATGATAAAAACTTAAAAAAAAATTTACTTGAGAGAGTGAGCGAGCAAGAGAGAGCCCAAGCCGGGAGAGGGGCAGAGGGAGAGAGAAGCAGACTCCCTGCTGACCGGGAACCCAACTAGGGGCTCCATCCCAGGACCCCTAGCATCACAGCCTGAGCCGAAAGCAGATGCTTAACCCAGTGAGCCACCCAGGTGCTGCGATGATAAAAACTCTTAACAAACGGGGAATAAAAGAGTTTCTTCAACCTGGTAAGGGACATCTAGGAAAAACCTATAGTTAGTATTGAACTTAATTTGAGAAAGACTGAATGCTTTCCCTGTAAGATCTGGAATAGTTCAAGAATGCCTTTTCTCACGACTTCTATTCAAGTTGATAGTGAATGTTCTAGCTTTTGCAAATAAATCAAGAAAAAGACAATTAGAAAAAAGAAGTAAAACTATCTTTATTTGCAGATGAAGTGATCATTCATGCAGAAAGTCCTAAGGAATGTAGAAAAATAACACTAGTAATAGCAAGTTTGCGAGATACGTTATCAGTGTAAATAATTGTTTGTAAAAATGAAAAATACTCCATTCATCACAACACTAAAAAGGGCTAAATACTTAAGAAAAAAAAATTAACAAAAGAAGTACAAGACCTGTAAACCTAAAACTGCAAAACATTCCTGAAAACAAAGAAAGCCTAAACAGTGGAATGATATGCATAGTCAAGGATTGGAGGCCTGACCTCATTGAGTTGGCAATCTTCTCCAAACTCTGTAGATTTCTCACAACCTCAATCAGAATACAGAAGATTTCTCTCCTGGAAATTAACAAGCTAATTATAAAGTATATACAGTAATGTAAAGGACACATATTAGCTAAAACATTTTATTTTTAATGTGAATTCCAGTATAGTTAACATACAGTGTTACATTCATTTCAGGTGTACACTATAGTGATTCAGCACTTCCCTGTATTACTCCGTGTTCTTCCAAGATAAGTGTACTCTTAACCCCCTTCATCTATTTCACCCATCCCTGCTCCCCCATTAACCATCTGTTTGTTCTCTGTAGGTAAGAGTCTGTTTTTGGTTTGTCTCTTTTCCTTTGTTTCTTAAATTCCACATGTGGGTGAAATTACATGGTATTTGTCTTTCTCTGGCTTATTTCACTTAGAACCATACTCTCTGGATCTATCCATGTTGTTGCAAATGGCAAGATTTCATTCTTTATTATGGTTGAATAATACCGCATTGCATGTATATACCACATCTTCGACGGACACTTAGGTTGCTTCCATAATTTTAGCCAAAACAATTTTGGATAAGAATAATGTTAAAGGTTTTCTAATACTTGATTTCAAGGTTTATTTTATAGCTACTTCACTAAAGAAAGTGGTTTTGTTTGGTATGAGAATAGACATACAGATCAATGAAGTAGAATAAAGCCTGGATATAAATGTACAATATAATACATGGTTAATATATATATTTGATTTCATACAAAGATGCCAACCCAAATAAGTGGGGGATATGTGATAGTTCTTTCAATAAATGATTCTGAAATAACTAGATTTCCAAGTGGGAAAAAAATAACACATGGAATTTAACTTGAAATGGAACATAGACATAAATGTAAATGCCCCAAAAGTATAGTTTCTTTACCAAAAAACATAAGAGAAAATCTTTAAGTGCTTGTGGTAGGTAAAGATGTCTTGGGATAAAGAAGCACAAATAAAAAAATAAATTGATGACAATTAAAATTTTCTACTTTTTGAAGGACACCTGTTAAAAATGAAAAAGGCAAGCCATCCAATTGCAAAAAACATTTGCATTACATAATCTACAAAATACTTTATCCAAAATATATAAGGAGAGCAATAGCCCAATAAAACATGAGCAGACATGTGAAAAGGTATTTAATTTTATTACTCATCAGGAAAATGCAAAACAAAACCATTCTACCATTAATGTAGATGTAAAAAATTGCAGAACGTTAAAAATTGAAATTAGGACAGCATAGTTCTTTTGGGGGGTATGCCTAATGATCATGAGTCCCACAATGGAGGTTTCTGCATTGATAGTAATGTTCTATTCCTAGATCTGGATTTTGGGTGCATGGGTGTGTTTTCTTTATGACAGCTTACTGAACCTTATACTTAGTTAATGTATTCCTATGTAGTAGGTTATGTTTCAGTAAAAATGTCTTCCCAAAAACAAATAGGATTTGGAGAAGGACAAACCCAACCCATGAACCTGTGTAGAACATGTAACTGTAATGCATTTGTGAAATTCTATTTAAAGCTAAGGTGAAATTGCCAGGAAGATTGCCAGAATTTAAAATGTTTGAAAACACTAAGCATTTATGAGGCTATGTGGCCATACAAATTCTAATCTGCTGACATTAGTTTAATGTGTTGCAACTACTTGTGAAAACAGTTTGATACTACTTAGTAAGGTGAACATGTGCAATTGCGCTCCTTCATATATACACCATGGAAAATCTTACATATGAACACCTGGAGACATGTTCAAGGATGCTTATGGTGGCACTATGAGTAAAAGCAAAAAATTTGTAAACAATACAAATATATATCAGCCGTGTACTGGACAAATTATTCATCAAATGTGCAATGTAGTAAGGCAGTGAGAATGAGTGAACAATCAATATGGATAAAATTTAAACATTATTTTGTAGAAGAATGTCATACGAAAACATGTGTGATACTCCTTTTTTGTACAGTTTAGAAGGAAGCAGAGGATAAACCATGTTAAAGAATCATGCATAGGAGGTAAAAACAAGTAAATTAAAGTGAAATCGTGATCAGTTTTAGGGAATATAATCGAGGAAGATCACATTAGACGCTTCTAGGTAGGGGTATAATATTGCTTAGTTTTTTGGCCTGGGTAGAAGTTTAGGTATGTCTTACTATTTTATCAAATTGCATTATATGTTTTTATGTATCATATTTCTCAAAGCAGTAAAAAAGTCAATTTAATGAAATATTTTTCAAAAAATGAAAAGTAAAAGTGCAAACTTGCCAACTCTGGGGTTTTAAATATTGGGACTGGTTATTTTCTGTGGATGTCCTGAGATGGTTTTCTTATTTAGTGAGACATTGAGTATCTAAGATCTTTTCCTACTCAAAGCCTGTCAACAAGAAAATTAATATAACAGTTCTGTGATTTCTGTTTAGCCTTGAAGTTGTAAAACCACTTTTTTTTTTAAATAAAGATTTTATTTATTTGACAGAGAGAGACAGGGAACACAAGCAGGGGGAGTGGGAGAGGGAGAAGCAGGCTTCCCGCTGAGCAGGGAGCCCAATGCGGGGCTCAATCCCAGGACCCCGGGATCATGACCTGAGCCGAAGGCAGACGCTTAACGACTGAGCTGCCCAGGCGCCCCATAAAACCACTTCTTTAAATCTATATTTTATAATTTATTTACCTAATTCAGACTGGACTTTTTTTCTTAGTTCAAAGTGAGATTTTTTTGTTTGTTTTTGTCAAAATTGTCTTACGACTTTGAATAAAAATCTTTATGCTAATTAACAGTGAATTACTTTTTTTCCAGATTCAAAGGTCCACTTCTTTGGGAACATCACAGATTTCACAGAAAATGCTTCCTTTCTTGGAACTTCCATGTGTTGATGATGGTAAAACGAAACTGGTTTAGGAAGTTTTCCTTATTAAAATGCATTATGAATATAATTTTCATTTTGAGATTATACAGAAAATTGTAGGCAATAGCAGATATGTGTATGTTTTCCAGAAATTTTCACTAAAATTCCTTTAAGATAATAGAACTTGGATGTTCCTTAAAGTTGCTTTTGCAGCAGAAATTTTTGGTAAATAAAAGTTAAACTCATAATCTCACAAAATCCACTAGTTAATCTTCTTTATCCTCCTTTGAGCTAGGAGCCCCTATGAAACTCTATTGATACATAATTTATAATGTTACTTAGTTATTTGGAGAATCTTGTCATAGTAAAGCTTTAGTTTTATTTTTATATTTTCCTTTTTTATTAAATGAAAAAATCAAGCCTTAATACCTACATTCACACTATGAAAACTGGTAAATATTTTGACATCAGATACCTGCTTTTTCTTGGCCACATTGGAAAGAAACGTAAACCTATTTCTCTGTTTTTAAGGATTTAAAAATTGCTAAATGTTACGTAACTGAAGTTGCCATGTCAGTCTTCAGTTTTCTACAGAACGTTTTTCTTTCTGTGTGGTTAAGGGGTGGGGAGGAGAGGTTTGTGAGATCTACCCTAAATTCAGTTTTTGGTTGTCAGGGATACACCTTAGATGGTTTTAGTTTCCTTTAAATCTTCTTTTAATGGTTTTACTAGTTTTGTAGTGTTTTTCATAGTAAATTCTAGAAATTTATTATATATATGTGTGTGTATACATACATACATACATACATACACACACACACACACACACAAACGAATGAAATAGTGATTGATCTCGTTTCTTCATCCGAACCTCAGGGCCTGCTTTGTTCTTTTAATATTGCAGATTTTGTAACTCATTCCTATTTTTGTTACCCAGGTAGAGCAGGCGTATTAGTGTGTTCTTTTGAAAATTCATGTTGCATGTAATCATTGGCATTTGCTATAAAATTTTCTTTTGCGGGGCGCCTGGGTGGCTCAGTCAGTTGAGCATCTGACTTTGATTTCAGCTCAGATCATGACCTCAGGGTCATGAGATCAAGCCCTGTGTTGGGGGAGCCCAGCATGGAGCCTACTTAAAATTCTCTCCCTCTGCCCCTCCCCACCCCTGCTGGTGCATGCACATTCTCTCTCTCTTTCTCTCAAAAATAAAAATAAAAAATAAAATTTTTGTTTGCAATTTTTAGACTAATGACTTTAAAAGGTGATGTTCATTAATCTAAGGTTGAACTTTATATTTTCTGTATTTTTTGTCATCAAAAATGTTATTTTCAGACATAATCTCTATTCTTTTCTATTATTTTCTCATCTTTATTCAGATTTTGAAATATTTAGACCACTAATATATTTGTATTCATATTTATTTCAGAAAAATTATAAAAATGTTATTAAATCAGTCATTTTGATTATTGACTTAATGTTCTATAACATTTAGATTCAGAGGAAGAATTTTTTGATGCACCATGTAGTCCCTTGGACGAACCTCTTCAATCTCCTACTGAAATTCAAAGTTACCAAAAAAAATTTCAAAAGCCAGATTGTTCAAAAAATATGATTCAGTATAAAATAAGATTTGAAGTGCCAGAGGTATGTACCATGGTAAAATTAATATGGCTTCTTTAAATTGTTTGTCATTGCTGCTATTCAGTGTATTTATATAGTCGCATTGCTAACATGTCCTCCTGTTTTGTCCAGTTTAAGCTGAATCCAGATGTTGCTATGTGATTTTTCCTCCCTTTGAGGATTAATTTTCTTAATCAAAAGTTAGGAGTTTAGATCATATATTATGGGTATTTGATACATATTTATTAAAAATAGTTAATTGTACAACATAAATGTGTAGGTATGTGTGATATAAAATCTTTCCTAAGTTTAAATACAGATCATATGTATACCTTATATATCCATTTATAACCACCATCCACATAAATAATTTTTTATTTTGGTAGTGGTACTTTCTTTTTTCTTTTTTCTCCAGGTTTTGATTCAGTTTTATCACCTTGTTGGAGATTTTGAACTACCTGTGGTAGAAGTTGATGTTTTAGGATTGGGCACAGATGTTGAACTTAGAACATTTGATTTGAAAGCAAATGCCTTTTTGAAAGAGTTCTGCCTAAAATGCCCAGAACACACTGGTAAGCATCTCAATTTTTTTAAAGTAATAAACTTTATTGTTTGACTCCCTACTAGAGAGTTTAAAATTCTCTAGGCTTTGAATCAGTACATTTATTAAAAATTCTCAAAGAAATACTGTATTATGAGTTGGTCTTCAGGTTTTATCTTATACTTGGAAATCTAGGAAGGTAGATCAAAGACAAAATGAAGATAATTTTTTTTCATAAAGGAAAGTAAAATAGTCCTGGTTTACTTTTAAATCTAATTCAATACTACAATGCTGAATTAGTTCCTGTTGATAATGTAACAATTTACCACAGACTTAGTGTCTTAAAACCACAGAAATTTGTTGTCTTAAGTTCTATTAATCAGTAGTCTGACATAAGTCTTAACACATGAAAATCAAGGTGCCAATTGGAGCTCCTCTATGGAGACTCTAGGGGAAGATCCATTTTCTCGCTCATTCAGTTGTTGCCAAAACTCATTTCCATATGGTTTAAGTCTGCTTCCTGCTACCTGTTAGGTGAGAGCTGGCCTTAACTCCTACAGGCCTCCCTAATTCCTTGCATTTGGTTCCCTATATCTCAGAATTAGTACAGGTTGATAGATCCTTCTCATGTTGTCATCTCTGATCTCAATCCAGGCTAATTTCCTCTTTACCTAATTACCTTTGCAAAGTCCCTTTTGCTATCTAAGGTAACATATTGTCAGGTTTTAGGGGGACATAACATGGATATCCTTGGGTGTCAGGGCATAGCATTATTTTGTCTACCATAAACATTTTATGTCCCATGGTCATAATGGATAAATTATATGATATCTTGGATAATATTTCCATTTACTGTGTTAGGCATTTAGGAGAGAGTATTATGTATATTCCTTTGTATTTTTGGATTTATTCTTGTAAGATAATTATAAATGGTTGATGGAATGATTAAGACATTTCATTTCTAATCTGAATGCCTTTTATTTCTTTTTCTTGCCTGATTGCTCTGGCTAGGACTTCTAGTACTATGTTGAATAAAAGTGACAAGAGTAGGCACCTTGTCTTGTTCCTGATTTAGAGTAAAAACATTCAGCTTTCACCATTGAGTATGATGTTAGCTATGAGCTTGTTACATATGGTTTTTATTATGTTGAGGAATGTTCCCTCTCTACCCACTTTGTTGAAAGTTTTTATATAAATGGATGTTGAATTTTGTCAAATGCTTTTCTTCATCCACTGAAATCATAATATTTTTATACTTCATTTTGTTAACGTAGTATATCACATTAACAGATTTGTGGCTGTTGAACCATCCTTGGAATAAATTCTACTTGTTTTTGTTGTATGATCCTTTCAATGTATTGTTGAATTTATTGTTCTTATATTTTGTTGAGGATTTTTGCATTTATGTTCATCTAAAATATTGGCCTGTAATTTTATTTTCTTGTAGTATTCTTGTCTGGATTTGGTACCAGGGTAGTGCTTGACTTGTAAATGAGTTTGGAAGTGTTTCCTCCTATTTTTTAGAGATGTTTCAGAAAGATTAGTATTAATTCTTCATTTAATGTTTGGTAGTATTTATCAGTGAAGCCATCTGGTCATGGACTTTTGTTTGTTGGGAGGTTTTTGATTACTGATTCAATTTATAAGTAATTGGTCTATGTGTATTTTGTATTTCCTGATTATTAAGTCTAGGAAGGTTGTATGTTTCTAGGAATTTATCTGTTTCTTTTAGGTTGTCCAATTGTTGGTGTTAGGATTTTTTCATTGTAGTCTCTTACAGTCCTTGTATTTCTGTGGTTATCAGTTGTAATGTCTCCTTTCTCATGCCTGATTTTATTTGAGCCCTCTTTTTTTTTTCTTGGTGAATCTAGCTAAAGGTTTGTGCATTTTGCTTATCTTTGAAAGGAACCAGTTATTAGTTGTATTGATCTTTTCAATTTCTTTTTCTAGTCTCTGTTTATTTTCTGATATTTTATTTCTTTCTAATTTGGGGTTTCATTTGTTCTTTTTCTAGTTCCTTCAGGTATAAACTTAGTTGTTTATTTGAGTTTTTTCTTGTTTCAGGAGGCAGGCATTTATTGCTGTGCTCTGACCTCTTAGAAATACTTCCGCTGCATTTCATAAATTTTGTTATATTGTATTTATGTTCTCAGTGGTCCTAAGGTATTTTTAAAATTTTTTCTTTTGATTTCTTTTTTGACTTAGTAAAAAATTGTCAATATCTGTAGTAATTCTTTGTTGACCCAAATAGTAAAACTGTCACTGTTTGCTGGAGACGTGATATTATATATAGAAAACCTTAAGGGCTCCACCAAAATGCTGTTTGATCTAATCAGTAAATTCAGTAATGTTATAGGATAGAAAAATACAAAATTCTTTTGGGTTTCTATACACTATGAGGAGGAGAAGTTAAGAAAACAATCCCATTTGCAGTTCCATCAAAAAAAATAAAATGCATAAGAATAAATTTAAGGAGGTGAAAGACCTGTATACTGAAAACTATAAGACCGTGATTTAAAAAAAAAAAGACAAATAAATGGAAAGGTAGTCTGTGCTGATGGATTAGAATAATTAACATGATTAAAGTGTTCATATTATCCAGAGCAAATCTACAAATTCAATGCAATCCCTATCAAAATTCCAATGACATTTTTCACAGAAATAGAAAAAACACTTCTAAATTTGTATGTCACCACAAAACACCCCACATACCCAAAGCAGTTTTGTGAAAGAAAATACTGGAGGCATCATGTTCCCTGATATCAAAATATATTACAAATTTTCCTATGCTACTGATATAAAATAAAACATTATGGTACCAATATAAAAACAGACCCATTGATCAATGGAACCAAAAACAGTCTAGAAGCAAACCCATTCATATATGGTCAATTACTTTTGACAAAGGAGTCAAGAATATAAAGTGAGGAAAGGATAGTTTCTTTAATAAATGGTGCTAGGAAAACTGGGCAGCCATACTCAAAAGAATGAAACTGAACTATGACTACTGTCTTACACCATCCACAAAAATTAAGATGGATTGAAGGCTTGAATGGAAGACCTGAAACCATAAAACTTCTAGAAAAAAATATAGGCAGTAAGTGCCTTTACATTAGTTTTGTGTTGATTATTTGGATCTGACTCCAAGAGCAAAGACAAAATTAAACAAGTAGGACTACATTAAATAAATCTTCTGCACAGCTAAGGAAGCCATCATCCAATTGAAAAGTTAACCTACTCAGTGGGAGAAGATACATGCAAATCATAAGTCTGATCAGTGGTTAATACCCAAAATATATAAAGAATTCCTATAACTCAATAGCAGAAAACCAAGTGAATAGCATAGTTTCTTACAAATGATCGGTGAATAGTTTTGTGGATAAATAAATGTGTGAGAAAAGTCAGGACCTTTTTAAGGTTTGAAATGCAAGTAGCATCTGAAGTAGAAAGCTGGCTGAATAGCTAATAAACTTTTAAATCTGGAAGATTCTTTGGAATATGTTGCATTTTTCCTCGAAAGTATTATGATTGGTTTGTAGTCCTTTCTCCCACTATCTAGATACTGATTTTGAATAGTCATAAGTAATTTGGTGGTGATAGTTTTAAAGCCCTTATACAAAATACTGTTTTACAGCAGTTTTCCTACTATTTTCTTGAGTTTTGATCAGAATCAAGAATACAAGTAGTAAAGACTAATTATATGGCAATGGGGTTTATTCTACTCTAAACTAATATACAGAAAAACTTAGTTTCTCATCACATACCTGATCTGTCTTCTCAAAAATAATAGATTTTCAGAGAGTCTGATGATTTTCTTTTTAGGTATTTCTGTGGCTCAAGGCCACAATTCCCTTCATGTCTACTCATTGCTCATAATAATTACTCTGTTTTTTCTTTAACTGATTGCTACTTTTTTTTTTTTTTTTTTACCTTCCTTCCTATCTAAGTTTAGAAGGGTAAGATTGTTTCACATTGTGGCATAGGAGATGGGAAGGGAATTGTGGGGAGAAATTACAGCTTAAGAGTTTATAATAAAGGAGGAGGGACCTGATTTGGGTAAGGTAGGATCCAAGGCCCAGAACTGATTCAGGAAATTCTTCTTTTCCAGTTATATTTTATTATTGTTGCTGATATTTATTTTCTGTTATTTTTTTATATGAAAGAGTAATTTAAAAACTCCCTTTTTAGATGCAAACAAGAAACCAATTTATTTGATTACAACACTGGATAATACGATGGAAGATCTGCTAACATTGGAATATGTGAAGGTAAGTGGTTTGTATGCTTGCTGTGACTAATGTTGTAATCGATTTTTGTAAGTTTAGTTAGATTCAGCTTAATCTTCATTTTAATGTGTTTCCTAAAACTCCTGAAACTTTAAGGTTTTCTTATTTTGTCATCCTTTGTTAGTTTTAATTTATAAACAATATAGAAAAATAATAGGCCTCTGTTCTAAGTAGAACTGACATGAAGTTTTGAGTTTTTTCCCTCCATCAGATAACCCCCCCAAAAAAAACCCAAACCTTTTTTTTTTTTTTTTTAAAGTCTTATTTTATTTGCGAGAGAGAGAGGGGGAGCATGCATTGGGGTGGGGGATGGGGGAGAGGGGTGAAAAGAGAAGGAGAGATAATCTCAAGCAGACTCCCTCTGAGCATGGAGCCCAATGCTGGTCTTGATCTCATGACCCTGAGTTGGAGGCTTAACCGACTGAGCCACCCAGGCGCCCCAAAACCCAAACCTTTTAATCTTGATGGAATTTATTATGGCATATGATACGAGATGAGGCTTTCATTTGATTACCCACTGTTATCTGAAGTTGCCTCATTTTCCTGGTTTCAATGACTCTGTTCCTTTTCTATTGACTTACGGTACTCATTTCATCATTTGTTAAGTTTTTCTATGTACTAGGGTCTAGTTAAGGTTTATTCCATGTTTTCATTGACCTATTTTTATGTAAGTGCCACATTAATTTAATAATTACTTTATCATAGGGGCGCCTTGGTGGCACAGTCAGTTGAGCTTCCCACTCTTGGTTTCCCCTCTGGTTATGATCTCAGGGTTGTGCGATCAAGCCCTACCTCAGGCTCTCTGCTCAGCATGGAGTCTGCTTGGGTTTCTCTCTCCCTCTCCCTCTGTCCCTCCCCCCTACACTTGTGCACTCTGTCTCTTGCTCGCTCTCTCTCTCTCTAAAATAAATATATAATAATAAAATCTTAAAAAAATAATTAGGGGCGCTTAGGTGATGTAGTTGGGTAAGTGTTGGACTCTTGGTTTCAGCTCAGGTCATGTTCTCAGTGAGGATTCTTCTAAAGTTTCTTATTCTCCCTCTGCACTTTCCCATCCTCATGCATGCTCTCTCTAAAATAAATAAATATTTTAAAAAATGCTTTATCATAATAACAGTGCCGAAGGAGTATTTTATCGCTTTTAAGACCATTTTTACTATTATTGATGTAGATATTTTAGAGTTTTTGTTGTTTATGCATTTAATAGCTTTTATATGACAGAAGCATTCTAGATCTAAAGATAATGCACAGTATTTGGACACTTGATAGACAATTCTGTTGCATAGAGGAAGAATTAGGAAGGCCCTTATGAAGTTGCAATTGGATATACTATATGTCTTCCTAGATAGTCAAACAGATTTGCTTTTTTTTCTCTTTGGATAGGCTGAAAAGAATCTACCCAACTTGAAAAGTACTTATAACAATGCTGTGCAACTGATTAAGGTATGAGTGAATAATAATTTAATTTAGATACTGTATTTCTAAGTAAATATATTATGAAAACTGTCTTATAACTGGAACTGTATGATCCTTGAGGATAAAAATGGAATATTATAAATATTATAATTGACAAACCATAGTGCCTTATACTGAGCAGCAAACAAATATTTATTGACCTATTACTAAAATCAGCTTTGTTCTTTAGGTGAATTTTTCCTCTTTGGATATTCATTTACATACTGAAGCACTTCTGAATACAATAAATTATTTTAGTAATATAATTCCACAATTGGAAGAAAAACCAGCCACAGTGTCTGTTGCAGAGACTGAAGACAAAGGAGAGGTCGTTAAAAAAATGCGTATGTTTAAAATTCAGCTTCTAAGTTTTTTTACCATGTGGATCAATAATAAATTAGCTTTTGCTTTATTATTCATGCATAATATTGGCTTCAGAATTCTATTGCCTAGATTAATATCTAGAAAGATTATTATATACCAGGTAAATTTTAGAAAATGATACTTAAAGTAATTACCAGTTAAGAAAATGTGGCTTTTATTTATCATATTAGTCTTTTTAGTCAGATATTATACAGTGCTAGTGTTTGATTTGGATTAAAATTAATGCATTTAATATCATAATCTTAGATTAGAAAAATAGAACTAAGAAAATTTGAATCATTTCAGTGTTTTTTAATTAAGTACTTTTTAAGCAATGAAAAGTTGCAGGTTTGACAATGAGAAGTATTACCTTGTGATCATTGTGTCTCAAATGATTTCTGATTTTACAACTATAATTTTTTAGTTTCAAATGTTAGTCTCATCTAGGAACCATTTTTTGTTGTGTCTGATTTGTTTGGCTTTGTTTTCATTAGGTTTGATTGGGTTTTTTTTTTTTTTTTTTTTTTTTAGAATTCCTAATTAAGTGGGGATATCTAGCTTGCTTTCAGTAGAATGGCAAATCAGATTTTCCTCTAGTATTATCATTAATTTTTCTTATACTTCAGTTACTTTATAAGGGTAGTGAGGTGACTACTAAACTTTTTCCTTATGTTTTACAATTTTTTTTTTTTGCAGCTTTAAAACTATCCAAGAACGAAGATGTTATTACCTTGCAGATTTTAGCAGAATTATCTTGTTTACAGATCTTTATTCAAGATCAGAAACGTAACATTGCTGAAATTAAGATCGAAGGTAATAAAATTTCAGGAAAAATTAATTCACAACTATTAAATGAAAGAAAAGCCATTTAATCATCCTTGTATTCCCTTAGGGCTTGATTCTGAGATCATTATGAGGCCTGCTGCAACTGAAATAAATGCAAAGCTAAGGAATATAATTGTTTTGGATTCTGATAAGACAGCTGTATACAAAAAGGTATGAATTTGTTTATGTTACTTAATAGTATCTCATTAAATATGCTTGTCCTTAAACATTGGTCATAGGTATAAATTAGGTGTCAGAATTTAGCAATGTGGGTTATTAAGTGGAAGGGTTTTGGAGTTAGGCATAACCGGGTTTGTATCTTAGCTCTGTTCCTTAGCAGTTGAGTGACCTAAACTAAAATTCTGTTTCTTTATTTGTAAAATGGGGATTAAGTATCTCATAAATAAGTTTACATAATGCTCCTGAAACATAGTTGGGGGCTGAGGAGGGGCAGTTAGTAAATACCTTTCTCATTTTGTTTTCTTTTTGTTCTCTTCAAATACTGTGAACCTTGTGATGCATTTCAGATTTCAAGAGCAGAGGGTATGAAGTCAGATTGAACAGATGAGATTATTTTTTAAGCTTATTTTCATGGGTGCCCACTCTGGTATAGCTGTTCACAATGTTAACAGAGGCCTTTGAACTGGATGGCTAGTGGTCGAAGGGACAGGTATTAGTACTGGATATAAGACGGTAAGGTTCTTGGTTCAGATACTGTTGTAGAGTTGGGCAGGTAATTTTTGAACAGCGGAGCCTCTAGGTGAGATGGTATATTTAAGAGAGTGAAGAGAATATCAGGTAGTAGGATCAGAAAAGGCTGAGGCACTTCTGGAGTCACGAAGTCAGAGTTTGGAGTGTGAAAGGAAGTAAGTGAATACGCTTAGCTAATAAAACCGATGAGATACAGGGATGACCTGATTTTTATGTTAAATAAAAATCCTTACTCTTTATATTTTCTTCTTCCGGCTTACTAGTGTGTGATAAAAAGAGTGCCATAGCATTAAATGTGTGTAGTCCACAGTAATAAGGAACAAGAAATTTTCTGGAATCCATGATTTAATGTGCTTCTATTGCTTTTATTTAAGAAAAAAACAAAGTACTAAAGCATTTAAGAAGTAGATTATCCATTTTATTTGCCCTGTCTAGGAAGTAAAGCTCACGTAAATAAGTCCATCTACTAAAAGTCATACAAGTAGTTAGTAATGGAACTGATAATGTAACCGAAGGCATTTACTTTTTTCTCCTTATTTTTATTACTAATGCATCTATAAGGTTAAAAAAAAAATCAATTTATAAAAAAGCTACAAAATGAAGTTTCTTACTTCGGTCTTATTGCCCCATCCCCATTTCCCTCTCCCTACTCTGGGTGTACATAATTTTTTGACTTTGATTCTAGTGTACATAATTTTTTATGTATTTTTTTAAAGATTTTATTTATTTATTTTAGAGAGTGCATTTGGGGGTGGGGAGGAGAGGCTGGGGAACAGAAGGGGAGGGAAAGGGAAAGGGAGAGAAGCCCATGCAGACTTCATGCAGAGCACAGAGTCCAATGCGGGGCTCGATCTCATGACCCAGAGATTATGACCTGAGCTGAAACCAAGAGTCTGATGCTTCACCAACTGAGCCACCCAGGTGTCCCTCCAATGTACATGATTTTTAAACAAACTGCCTTGGTTCGGTAACTCTCCACATGTCAAGGAATTGGACAGCATTTTGCCCCAGCCCAAAGCTTCCTAATTACTGTGCCATGACAGACTGTTGTGCCCTGAATGGGTTTTGGGCATAATAATGTATTTAGCCCCCTCAGCTTTTTTGGGAAATTGGATAAAGGATACCTAGAGTTCTCCGACTATTTGAATCTGCCCTGAAGCATCATCCTCTATTTACCCTAGAACCATTGTACAGATAATTGTTATTTATGTGTGTTATAAATAATATAGAAAAACATAGAATCTGAGGATTCTAGCTGATCTAACATTCTTATGAAATAAGATCTCATTGTAAATTAGTTTCTTATATCTTTTTTACAGAAGTGTTTTAAAAGTGAATGTTTACAAAGATTACCCACTTATTAATGTTCGTTAATTCTGGGTGATATGTATGTATTTCTGATTATTGGAGTTTGGACAGATAGATGTAACAGTAGATGATCAGGCACTGATACAGTAATTTTATGGCCTAAAAAATTGAGGATAAAGGTTATTTTTTTTCTCATAGGCCGATCAGTTTCCTTTGAGAAAAGTACTATAAATATAAGCCTGATAGTCTAGATTCTAGGAGCTACAATGGTTGAAGAATGTTGGAGACCTCACCTTTCAATTTACAGATTTTTACTAAAAATGCACATTTTTTAGTTTTATTTACCCGTTTCTTGCACGTGGTATCTCCTATGCCATATCCTCTCTACTCTAAACTCTGTCTTAAGCAAATTTCTTTTCTTCTCTTGGGCTTTATTGGGGGGTGGAGGGGGGTAGTCACAGGGTCACTCAGGTGACTTGTGGAAAATAGTCTGTTATTTTATTAGCAATATTTGGAATATTACAGTCAACAAAAGATGCAAAGTCCCTCTCCTGGGGTAAATAATAAAAAATGTTATTAGGGAGTGATAAGAGCTTTGAAAACCAATAAAGTAGGATAATATGATAGTGATTCTAATATTGTCTTAGGATTATCAGGAAATCCCTTTCTGAACATTTGAGTGAAATCTGAATCAATTGTAGATGTGGAAAGAGCATTCCAGGTAGAGGAAATAGCAGCTCGGGTTTGTGGCAGAAAGGTACTTGGCATATTTGGGAGGCCATAAAGGGCCTCAGTAACCATTATATAGAATTCTTTCCTGGTTTCTTTTCTCCTTTTTAAATCCAGGTTTACTTTACTTTTAGTAAAATTTACCCTTTTTAGGGCATAGTTCCTGGAGTTTTGTTGAACACCTACAACTGCCTACAACTGTGTAACTTCCAACACCTTTAAGGATAATAGATTTGATCTCTCACCTCCCAGAAGTTACTCCTGCCCTTTGTAGTTACCCCTTCTCCCCACCCTAGCACTAGGAGTCTGTTTTTTGTCCCTGTAGTTTGCCATTTCCAGAACATTAAATAAATGGAATACTGCAGTATGTACCTTTTGAGTCTGATTCTTTCTTAGCACATGCAATTTTAATTTTTGTCTTTTTTTTTTTTTTTTTTGACCCAGTCTGACTAGAGATTCATCAATTTTATTAATCTTTTCAAAGAACCAGCTTTGGGTTCAGTTCATTGTTCTTTGTTTTAAATTTCATTTATTTCTCCTCTTTATTTCCTACCTTCAGCTTGTTTGGATTTAATTTCTTCTTTTCCTAGTTTCTTAAGGTAGAAGCTTAGATTATTGATTTGAGATCTTATTTTCTAATACAGGCATTTACTGCTATAAATTTTCCTTTAAGCACTGCTTTAGTTGTATCCTATAAATTTTGATATGTTTATTTTTATTCAGTTCAAAATATTTTCTAATTTCTCTTATAACTTTATCTTTTACCCATGGTTTATTTAGAAGTTTGTTGTTTAACCTCCAAATATTTTGAGATGTTTTTCAGATTTCTTTCTGTTACTGATTTCCAGTTTAAATCTGTTGTAAGAGAAGAAACTTTTTTTGTTCTTTTAAACATGTTAGTGTTTGTTTTATGGGCCATAAAATGTGAATGCTCCAAATACACTTGAAATTATTGTGTATATCTGGGTGTCACTGGGTTGCATGTTCCATAAATGTCAGAGCATGTAGGTTGGTTGACAACAATCCTTCCTTATCAAGGAAGGATTGTTGAAATTTCAACTGTGGATTTTTCTCTTTCTCCTTTCACTTATCTCAATTTTTGCTTCATATGTTGAGAGATCTCATATATAGAACTTTATACTTTCAGGGTGAATTGACCCTTTTGTGATTATGGAGTATCTCTCTGTGTCCTTGGTAATTGCCCTTATTCTGAAGTCTGCTTTGGTAGTATATAGCCACTCCAGATTTCTTTGATTAGTGTTTGCATGGTATATCTTTTTCTATCCTTTCGCTTTTAATCTGTCTTTATATTTAAAGTGGGTTTCTCAGAGGCAGCATGTATTTCAATCTTGCTTCTTTATCCAGTCTGACAATCTCTTACTTTTAATTGATGTCTGGGCCATTTAAAAAAATCCAATTATTGACATGGTTGGTTTGAAATTTGCTCTCTCTAATTGTTTTCTGTTTTCTGGTTTTGTTCTATTTGTTATATTGCTTCCCCTCATTTAACCTAATTTTGGATTGTTTATCATTGATTTTATGATTTCCCTTGGGTTTTACAAAACATATTTTTAATCACAGTCTACCTTGTAATAATGTTTTACCACTTCATGTATATCTTATAATACTATCAGTTCCTAATTTTTATCTTCCATGACATTATTGTACTATGTTTTATTTTTGTGTAAACTGAAAATCCATAATACATATGTACTGATTTTGGTTTAGTCAGTTTTCTTTAGAGAAATTAATTTTTTTAAAAAAAGATCTTTTATATTTAAGTTTACTCTAGCCATCACTGGAACTAATTTCTTCATGTAGCTTCAGATTTCTGTCAATTTTGTTTCTCCTTGAAGAACTTTATCATTTCTTACAATGCAAGTCGGCTGGTACTGGATTCTCTCAGCTTTTTGGGGGAAGGAGGGATGAGAACTGGAAAAAACCCCAAAAAACCAAAAAAACAATTTTATTTCACTTTCATTTTCTGTTTGAAATTTTTGCTGGGTATAGGATTTTGTGTTCATAGGGCTTTTTTCCTCCCATTTCAAACTCTCATTAAAGATGTGGCTGCATTAGTCTTTCTTATACATGGTTTTGACAAGAATTTTGTATTATCTCTTTCCTTTGTACATATTTCTCATTTTTATATGCCTGCTTTCAGGATTTGTGTATGGTGTGTCTAGGTGTATTTAAGTATATTATAATATTTATTCTTTTTGGGGTTTTCTGAGCTTCTTGCATTTGTCTACATTATTTTTCATTATCTTTTCAAATAGTTCTTTTGCCTCTTTTTCCTCCCCCCTCCTTTTCCTTTTCCATTCCTTCCTTGTTCTTACTCCTCTTGGATTCCAAAAATTCTTACTAGATTCTTGTTAGGCATTGTCCCACAACCTTTGATTCATCTCTTCAGTGTTTTCCCCATTTTTTTCCTCCTGTTTCAGTTTGGATAATTTCTATTAAGCTGTTCTTAAGTTCACTGATTTTTATCCTTGGCTCTGTTGAACCCACGTATTAACCCATAGAAGATATTCTTCATCTCTGTTACCAAGTTTTTTTTTTTTAATCTTAAATATTTTCTTGATTCTTCTTTCTCTTTCTTTGCTGATATTCATCTGTTCATGCATATTTTCCACCTTTTCTACTAGAAGCATTTACCGTATTAATCATAGGAACTTAAACTTCACTGCCTGAAAGTTCCAACATGTGTGTTACAGGCAGGCCTGGTCCTGTTGATTTCTTTGTCATTTGTTGCGTTTTCTTTTTCCTTGCTTTTTGCGGTGTATCTTAGTTACTGATTGAATGTGAGAGATCATGTATGGGACACATACTGAAATGAATAGTATTTATGTCTGATAATGGGTACTTTTTCTGCTAGGCTATTAGCATGGAGGTTGAGACGATTTAATGGAGAGCTGAGCTGGGTTTGAGTTTTCTTGTTTAATATGATTGCCTTAATTATACCACTACTTCAGATTCCTTCAGCTGTATTTTGTGCTTAGGATGGGGGACTTTGTTCCTGGAATGCTGCTTCATGCTATGCATTTGGTCTTCCCTCTACTTCCATACCTTAGGAATTTCTCTTTCTGTACTCTTGACTCTTTCTTTGATGATAGTTTACTGCTGCTTTTTCATCAGTGCTTGCCTGCTTGATGGTGAGTATTTTGTTGTGGGGGAGGTGTTTTGAGTAGGCTTGTCATTTGTCCTAGTCCTGTTTCAGTCCTAGCCATACCTGTTCCTTTAGGCATTTGTGAGGTGCCTGGGTGGCCAGTCAGTTAAGCATCCGACTCTTGATTTCAGCTTAGGTCATGATCTCAGGGTCCTAAAATGGAGCCATGTGTCAGGCTCCACACTCAGCAGGGAGTCTGCTTCTCTCTCCCTCTACCGTCCCCCTGCTTGCATGCGCTCTTTCTCTAAAATAAATCTTTAAAAAAAAAATAGGGCATTCTTGATGAATCTGTCCCTCTTTTCCATGGTATCTGACTCCTATCTTTGTAGTTCCTATGTGGGAGAGAATATTCTTCCCTGCCCTAGGAGAAGGTGACCTAGAATGGTGTGGCCCCTAGAAGATTTTTCCCCATGAGTGTAGAAGGAGTTTTCTTTTATCCTAGCCCCTTAGGTGTAGTAGCTTCACCTGTTCCCGAGGCAACAAAGTATTGCCTTTCTCCTAGGGTTTTTTGTTTTGTTTTAAGATTTATTTATTTATTTATTTATTTATTTAGAGTTTGTGTGAATGGGGGGAGGGGCGGGGGAGAAGGAGAGAATTCTTAAGCAGACTCCCCACTGAGTGCAGAGCCCTAGGCAGGGCTGGATCTCTGGATCCTGAAACCATGACTCGAGCCAAAACCCAAGTGTCGTATGCTAACTGACTGAGCCACCCAGGTGCCCCTCTCCTAGTTTCTTAAGGTTTTGTTTTGAGAAGAGAATAATCCTGGTGGTCCTTTGGCCCTTTTTGTAGTGAATACTTCTCCCTCTTCCAGGGTCATAACCAAGGAAAGCTTTCTCTCATCTTCTAGGGCCCTTTTTGCAGTGAAGACTTCGTCTTCCAGGGTCATAACCAAGGAAAGCTTTCTCTCATCTTCTACTCTGCCCCCAGTATTTCTCATAAGCTCCCAGCAGAGAGCTCCCAGTGAAGTCCTTGCAACTGGGAGTGAACTCTTGGATTTGTGGCTGCCAGAGATTCTGTATCTCACATTAGTCCATAGTCCACCTTTACCATTTTAGCTGAGTTCTTATCTAGCTTGTATGGTACCTGGCATCTCTTTCTCCTTCCCCTTAACACAGGTGAGCTGGTGCTTGTATTCTGTCTCTCCTGAAGGTGCTTTTTTTATCCTTAGATTTTAGGCTGCTTGGTTGGTTGTAGCCTCAAATTTATAATGGTTTTTAAGAAAAGTTATGATTTTATAGTTTATCTGGTTCTTTGTTGTTGTTGTTGTGGTTGCTGTTAAGTTTGGAATGGGCCTCTGCCTAGCATTCTACATCTGAGACAGAAGCAGAATTCCTGTAGACTTCTTTTTTCAACCTCATCTTGCACCTCAGCCTTCAGAGCTCCTTAATTTCTTTGGTTCCTTAGGTTTTCTTTGTTCCATGTTGGAATTCATTTGCTTGTTGATGGCTCTTCAGCTTTCTGCCTTCTAGCATTTAGGAGGGTCAAGAAAGCTGTAAATCAACGAAATTAGTTCATGATATGTCCATCTTCCAAAATATTTTTGACATTTCACATGTGCTGTTGTTTCTACCATTTTTCACTAGTATTGCAGAACTTGAGATTTCAAACTGCTTTAGGTAAGTCTTGTTCAGCAGTTGAGATGACCCTTCACAAACTAGTAAGAGAAGTATAGTGATAGGAGGAGATTTTTGAAAAATCTGGAAAACCTATTCATGTATCTCAGATCAAGAGAAGTAGGTTTCATTAAGTTGCGGAGGTACAGCGTTTTTCAAACTTTTTGCAGTGACCAAATAATAACATTCATACGGCAACTCTCATTATACAAGTATATGCACTAAATGAAAATATATGGTCTGATCATTTTTCTTCAGTGTTCTCCATTAAAAAAAATGTTGGGCCAGACCTACTAAACTAATTTCATGACCCACAAAGGAAGTTGCCATCACCAATTTGAAAAACCTTGCAGTGTAGGTTCTGATAAAGATGTTAGAGGACACCTGCGTGGCTCAGTTGGTTGAGCGACCAATTCTTGATCTCAGCTCAGATCTCACTCTCAGAGCTGTGAGTCCGGGCCCTGCGTTGGGCTCTGCGCTGGGCGTGGGGCCTATGTTAAAACAAAACAAACAGAAAAACAGTGTTAGAATTACTGCTTTATTTGTACTTGGCTTGACTACTTAGAAGATTTTCCAAATATGTATGTATGTTTCATTATTTTGTGCTTTATTTTTGTACTGAAAGCACATTTTAAAAATGGATTCTGACAGTTAACTTTTCCCTCATTAAGGCTGTTTACATCACTGGAAAAGAAGTTTTTAGCTTCAAAGTGATTTCTTTTGTGGATGCAACTGCTGGTTCTGCATACACAGATATGAATGTGGTTGACATTCAAATTAATTTAACTGTTGGTTGCATTGAAGTGGTTTTTGTCACAAAATTTCTTTATTCTATATTGGTAAGTATGTTTATCAAATTTTTTATTTTTTCCTACTAGTTGGAAATTGCCGGGTGTCAGACATATTGGTAAAGAGCAAAAATTCCTTGCTTTTTTTTTTTTTCCTGATTTTTCATAATTTTCTGGGTATCCTTTATCATAACTGAAATACATAGTGTGTTATTTATATAAAATCATTTTCGCATAGGAATAGTCCAGTTAATTCAAACATGCATACTAATGTATTAAATGTACGTTATATACCATATATAGGATTTGTTATATATATCAATGGATTTCTTTATATGTAATTGGTTTAAGTCTTTGTTTTACCTGACTTAAAATTATAATTAAAAATACTAAATATATAATTGAAGTTTGTTTTGGTCTCATGTAATCATTATGGAAATTATAGTTTCTATTGCATATTATAACTGTAATCATCTGGGGCTTTAAAGAGTTGAAAATGAATCTTTGTATGATCCTGCCATAAGGTGTTTGAGTCCTTTTTCTCCTTTTCATTGTTTTTTTCTGGTGTTTTTCCCTTGCTGTCAGCTGATAATTTTTTCCTGTGAGTGTCCTACCTGTCTCTATGACTTCAGTATTCACTTTTTAAAAAAAATGTTTTCTGTAAATTTTGGTGTATAAACTAGATAATCAGTTGATTCTAAATAAATAATATTGCTGTTTTTGTGATCTTTTAAATTGAGGTTATAATGCAATTTTTTCTATAGCCATAAATTTTTTTCATACACAAATAGTAAAGATGAACAAGCATCCCTGGTCTAATTTTTATTTGTTCTGATTTATTTTTATAAATAAAAATCATTATGTCCCTAAGCCCTGCCTTTCACTCAAAAATTACTGAAAATAAATTGTTTTGAAACATGAAGTACAATTTTAAAATTAAGTATAATTCTAGATATATTTTATGTTACTGAAGTATTTTTTAGAGTTCAGAATTAAACTTTAGAGTTCTTGACAAACATATTTTACTATTTTTTCAATTACTTTTTATCTTACAAACATAAATAAGCTGTCTGTCCATTGAGGCTCTATAGGGAAATATAGTATGCTTCCTTAGCCATTAGGAAAAGTGAGATAATAAAGGGAAGGAGTTGCCAGTGAAACCTTGCAATATCCGCATGTTGCTCTGTTCCAGGGACAAGATTTTTGTTTTTTCACTATGTTTCTGTATCCTGGTGTTTCTCAACTTTTATTGCAGAAAATTGAGATTTAATACGGACAATGAGACTTTGAATAAAGAATGCTTGGTTGTACCAAGAAAAAATTTTTCTCATGGAGGTAAAATCAAAACTATCAAGATACATTTAACAATCATTAATTAATGGTAACCGTAAGAATATAATTCTGTTATCTTTTAGGCTTTTATAGATAATTTTCAAGCGGCTAAACAAGCCTTGGCTGAGGCTACTGTTCAGGCAGCAGGAATGGCTGCTACTGGTGTAAAAGAATTGGCACAGAGGAGTTCTAGAATGGCGTTGGATGTTAACATCAAAGCCCCAGTGGTGGTCATCCCACAGTCTCCAGTTTCTGAAAATGTTTTTGTTGCTGATTTTGGACTAATTACAATGACAAACACATTCCATATAATAACAGAGAGCCAGAGCAACCCCCCGCCCGTTATTGATTTGATAACAATAAGGTTGAGTGAAATGCGACTCTACAGGTAAGCTTTTTTAAGTACATTTGTGGAGAATGCAATCGTTTTCAAACTTTTTACATTAAAGGTTTTGGTATCCTGAGTCTTCTGTCTACAGGGAGATTTTATTTTATATAACTACTGAATTTTGAGATATTTTTCTTCCCCAGGGTTTTTGGCAAGATCTATTATACTCTTCCAGTTCTTTGAAAACCTAGATGGTATTTGAAAATCACTCCTTAGGTAATTAGGAACACTGTACAATTTATTATCTGAGGATGTATATTTGTGCTTATTTGTAGTTCTTTGTAAATTACAAGGTTAAGAAAAAAGAATTTCTAATATAATACATTTACTCACTTTGTAAATACAGCATTGCTCAAACTACTCTATCAGCTTCGTGCTGTGGATCTGATGCTCTAATTTAAAACAAAATAAAACACAGTAGAATACAATCATGCAATCATTGGGCATAGGATTATAAATTAGGAGAATAAGTGAATCTCCTAATACTAATTAGGAGAATAAGAGAATAAGTGAATAGTTCCAGAACTACTTAACTGTGTTTCCATGCTATTTCTAATCACCTGTTCTAGATTTAGCACTCTCTTTCTTTTCTGACTTGGATCCGTCTCTATTTATACCACTCACTTGCCCTCTTCTTCCCCCGTCATTTTTCTTTGATCTCATTTTCCTTGTCTCATTCCCCTTATTTTGCTACCTCTACTTCTCTTTGACCTCTGGCTGGTCTGGCTCCCTCCAGCCCTTCTTTCTTTCTTTTTTTTATTTTTAATTTTAATTTTAATTTTAGTTTATTTTTAATTTTTAAGTAAGCTCTGTGCCCAACATGGGGCTCAAACTCATGACCCTTAGATCAAGAGTCACATGCTCTACCGGGTGAGCCAGCCAGGTTCCCCTGGCCCTTATTTCTATTAGTTGAATATTTTTAAGGCAGCTATATTGAGATATAATCGGCATGTAATAAATTGCGTCTCTTTAAAGTATACAGTTTGAAAAGTTTTGACATGGATACATACGTGACAGTTTGTGTACAATTGTAGTATTTCTTAAATGTTTGGTAGAATTCACCATTGAAGCCATTTGGGCCTGGAATTTGCTTGTGGAAGATTTTCAACTGCAATTTCCATTTCTTTAATAAACTCAGGACTATTAAAATTATTTTTTTTCTTAAGTGATCTTTAATTTTTTCGCAAGAAATTTGTCCATTTCATCTCAGTTGTAAAATTTTATGGCATAAAGTTGTCCATAATACTCCTGTTATTCATTAATATCTGTAGTGTTATCCCCATTATTCTTGATATTTATAATTTTATGTCATTTTACTAATCTTAATGAACTACCTTTTGATTTTCTCTTTTTCATTGATTTCTTCTCTGATATATATTATTTTTTTCTGCTTACTTTGGGTTTAATTTTGCTCCTTTTGTAGGTATCTTTTGGTGGTAGCTAAGATTACCGCTTTGAACATATCTAATGTAGACACTTAGTGTTAAAATTTCAGAGTTCCTCTCTATAGCTCTTCTCTCTGGCATTTTACCATATGAACTTAGCTGCCTTGTTCTTTTTGGACTCTCAGCTCTGTCTTCTCAACTTGGTGGACTTTGCCGGTCTTTTCCTGGCTTACCCCTCCCTTTGCCCTTGCCTGTAAATTATCTCAAAACAATGAAAGTTGGGGCAATCCTAGGGCTTACTTTGTTTTTTTACCACCTCTCAGAAATGACAGTTGCCTGATGTTCTGTGTCTTGAAAACCACTTCTTAATGTTTTTTATGTGGGTTTTTTTGGTGAGGGGGAGTTGTTTCAGGCAGGATGGTAAGCTTGGTTCACATTATTTCATCTTGGATGGAAGGAGAAATTTTCATCAATTGAGTATTTACGTACTTACTAAGCACCTAGTATATCCCAGGTACTGTGCTAGGAAGAAGTTTAATAACAGTCTTTACAAAGGATGAATAAATATTTTTTAGTACCTACCTCATTGTTGAGGTAGGTGTTATTTAATGAATTTACTGAGCTGATGCACAAAACTAGGATCACATTTAGATTTTGGAGGGGTTGTAGAAAACCAGGTGAAAAGGAGACAACACTGGAGGTTGAAAGAATGGTTTACTAACTACTGGAGTGATTCACATATGAATTCTATGTAATGCTGTCTAGGGTAGGGAAGTGAGGTAGTGGAGAACTAACCAGTAAAGAGAAATTTAAAAGTAGAATTTATAGTCAGAGATTGTTGAATGGATGTTAGGATTCAAGGAGAGAAGTTAAATTTGACTTTGGGTTGCAGGTTTGTAAAATTCAGTATTTGGTAATAATGCAGTTCACGGAGATAAGACAGAGCAATGCAGAAAAAACCGTTGAGTAGAGACATTGAGTTCTCTATTGGGCAAAATAACTTGGAAGTTGTTGTCTGACTTTGATATGGAGATATATAGAAAGAGATTGGAAGGCACTTGGACATGTGTGTGGATATTAGAGTGTTTGGACTTCTAGATATGGGAGTCCTTAGTAATACTTAGGTAGTTATTAAAGCCTTTATCACACAGTTTTTAGAGTGGGACACACGGGACAGAATGCTCACAAATGCCAATATGTAAGGAACATACATTTCTCAAAAGAGACTAAGAAAGAGCAGGCAGAGAGATGGGGGGCAATCCAGGGGGGTTGTTGAGACAATGTTGAGGACTCTGTTGATGTTGTTAACCATGAATTAATAGTACATGATTTTTTTTTTATGTAATACTTGATATTTGGTGTTAGATTCAGGCAAGCCTGAATTTTTAACAAGCAGGTGTGACTCAAGGGAGTGAAACAGGATTGTTAAATATTGAGATTGTTAAATATCCATCATGTTGATGGATAATGGAGATGGAAGAAATCAAAGACAAGAGGGTACTGATAGAGTAAAAGAATGTAGAGAGGGGTTTATAAACTGGAGATTCATCAATCTCAAAGTCTTCAAAAATAAACACTGACTAGTTGTTGATTGATTAAAGCAAGAAGTAGAAGGTGGTAAACCTGGTTGATATTATGCTTAAAGGGATAGGAGTGAGAGTTGGGGAATATCATTGCAAATTAAAGAAAACGATTTCTATATCTCTTAACCCTGAGATTGATAGGGTGTTGGAGAAAAATTGGCCTCTATTTAATAGAGCTCCATGGAAAGCCAGGTTTCAGTTAAGGTAATACATTTAGTGAAGACATTGGAAAAAGTAGAATGATTTGTTCAGCCAAGTCCAGATAATTCAAAAATCATAGGAAAATAGTGGGTGAGAGACTTCTATTTTAATAATAGACTAAAGAGTAACAATTTAAACTTTAGATGGCTCATTAACTTTTTAAACTGTATGAAAGTCTGAATTTACTAAAAAAGATTATCTATAATCACATCTTGCCTTATTTCAAGAAATGGTAGGTGTAAACTAGGTGTGAGCCTATATTACAAACAGATTGTTTTGAAGAGTTCGCTAAATATCTCTAGAGCATTAAAAATACTATTTTTATATCCAAAAATGAGTTAACTTTTTACTGAAGAAAAACTTAAAATGGTACTTGGATGAACAGAAAAGATTGCTGACAATATGACCACCCAAAGGTAAGTACTATTAATAATTTGGTGTTTCTTCTAGTTCATTATTTCTGCACATATGTTTAAGTTGAGTAAAATAAGAATTATGTTGTATATTTTGGATCATAAATTCATTTTTTCCCTTAACAGTATGCTATATTTTTCCATGTTATTTTGAGTTCAACATTTTTTTTTCTAAATATTTCATTTTATTCTACAGGCTTTTAAAAATTCATTTGCCTGGTGTTAGAATGATCCTAGGTTCTTTTGCTGTTATAAATAACACTATAGTGATTGATATAATTGTTCATCAATACTTATATGACATTCTACTCATGTCTTTAGGATAATTCATTTCCTACAGATGAATTTCTAGAAATAGAATTACTCAGTTATAGAGTATAACCGATTTCCCCTGAAATAATTTTAAAACGATTGATATTTGGAAATTCAGTTTGGTTACAGCTTCAGAGTAAAGCACATAAAGACAAATAAGTATTTCATATTTGTGGCCACCTTTATTGAAATCTTTTTGTTGCAAAGCTATTAATTGCAATGTAAAATTTTAAAAAGACATTTACAGTATTTCTATGAGGAAAATTGTAAAACTTAACCAATGACCAGAAAGAAATCTTGAATAAATGTGGAGAGAATATTTTCCTAGACCTAATAATATAGAGATGTCCCCTCCCATGGCAGACCAGTGCAAACCTTGCTGGCACCACACAGTCTGCCCCCGCATTCTCTGGTGGACCTTCTCCCTCCAACATGCCCTTGGCAGGAGTCCATCCAAAGAGGTGGCACAGGCCTGGCATTGTGCAGGCAGTACCAGCCAGCACCATTCCAAAGTGACTCCCAAAGTGAAGGGAAATAACCACACACAGCGGTTTACCCATGGCCTCAACAGTAGGCTGGGCGCCGACATCTGGTCTGATTGCAGTCTCACCCACTAACAAAAGCTTCTCAGGGACAACACAGGGAGAGGCATCTGTAGTTCATCGCTACCACTGCTCTGGCAAACACCTGGTCTGACCCAAGTTAGTAGGTGGCCCCAGACTGGACTACTAACAACACAGGGACCAAACTCTGCCCACAACAGGCAAAGAGAGCCACCTCAGGCAACAGGACTGAAGGCAAATTCAGCTCAATCAGAGTAGGGTGCACATAACACCTAGAGGATACTCCTGAAGCACCACATTCTGGTGAACAAAGAACATTGCACTGTAGAATGCTACAGGACTTCTTCATAAGGCCACAACTTTCAAGAGCAGGAGACATAGCTGATTTTTCTAACACATGGAAACAGACACAGAGTTCGACAAAATGAGGAGATGGAGGAATATGTCCCAGATGAAAGAACAGGACAAAATCATAGCAAGAGAGCTAAACAAAATGGAGATAATATACCTGACAGAGAATTTAAAGTAATGGTCATAAAGATACTCACTGGACTTGAGAAAAGAGGGGAGGACTTCAGTGAGAGCCTCAACAAAGAGAAAGAAGACATAACAGAACCAGTCAGAAGTTAATAACTCAATAACTGAAGTTTAAAATACATGAGAGGGAATAAATAGACTAGAGGAAGCAGAAAGATGGATCAGCGACCTGGGGGACAGAGCAATGGAAAGCAATCAAGCAACCAGAGAAAGAGAAAAGAATAATAAAAAAACGAAAGTAGATTAAGGGAACTCAGCAACACCATGAAGTGTAATAACACTCACACCATTTGGATCCCAGAAGGGGAAGAGAGAAAAGGTGGCAGAATATTTGAAGAAATAATAGGCGAAACCTTACCAAACCTGGGGAAGGAAACAGAAATCCAGATCCAGGAAGCAGAGAGAGCCTCCAACAAAACCATCCCAAAAAGGTCCACACCAAGATACATAGTAATTAAAATGGGGAAAAAGTAGTGATAGCATCTTAAAAGCAGCAAGAGAAAAGAGTTACATACAAGGGAAACAAAAGCAAAAATAGACTATTGGGACTGCAGCAAAATAAAAATCTGCCCAGGAAAGTAAATAACCAACAAAGCAAAAAGACAACTTAGTGAATGGGAGAAGATATTTGCAAATGATATATCTGGTAAAGGGTTATTATCCAAAATATATAAAGAACTTACACAACTCAACACACACACACACACACACACACAGCTCAAAACACACACACACACACACACACTAGTTTAAAAAATTGACCGAAGAGATGAACAGACATTTCTCCAAAGAAGATATCCAGGTGGCCCCAGATACATGAAAAGATGCCCAACATTACTCATTATCAGGGAAATGAATATCAAAACCACAGTGAGATATAATCACACACCTGTCAGAATGGCTAGAATCAAAAACACAAGGCAACAGGTGTTGGTAAGGATGTGGAGAAAAAGGAACTCTTGTGCACTATAGGTAGGAATGCAAACTGGTGCAACCACTGTGAAAAACAGTATGGAGGTTTGTCAAAAAATAAAAAACAAAATTACCATATGATCCATTAATTGCACTACTGGGTATTTACCCAAATAATATGAAAAACAAATATGAAAAGATATATGCACTCCTGTGTTTATTGCAGCATTATTTATTATAGCCAAATTATGGAATTATAGAAAATTGAAATCTTGCCATTTGCAACAAAATGGATGGATCTGGAGGGTATAATGCCAAGTGAAATAAGTCATTCAGAAGACATATAGGATTTCACTCGTGTGTAGTTTAAGGAACAAATGAACAAACTAAAAATAAACATAAAAAACAGACTCTTCACTATAGAGAACAAACTGATGGTTACCAGAAGGGAGGTAGGTGGGGAGATGGGGGAAATAGGTGAAAGGGATTATGAATGCACCTATCTTGATGAACACTGAGTAATGTGTAGAATTGTTGAATCAGTATATTGTACACCTGAAACTAATAACACTCTGTTAATTATACTGGAATTTAAAAAATTAAAAATTTTAAAAATAAAAAAATAAAATATTCTTTATAGGCCTTTTAGATTTCCTAACTTATTCCCATTAAGTGGAGATTGCAAGCATGCATGCATTTAATTCATAAAATGGTATGATATTAGGCATTCTGAGAGATCCCTGATGACTCCCATATTTCTCTCCACTTGAGTAAGTGAATCTAAAATTCTGCAGTCATAGCTTCATACATACCCTAGTTGAAGCATTTGGAATTTGCCACTAGTTAAAATGTAAGTACATTATTAGTACCACTTTGAAGTTGTCACTTGAACATACAGTGAGAGGCTTCTGTGGTCACATTATCACTTGAAATGCATTCAGTAATCTACTGTTTTCATTATTCTGGAGCATCATTCCTACCCTTACGAATATTTGGAAAGGCAAATATGTTTCAACCTAATATGAAATTTCCCATATTCAACTGCTTTTCATCCACAGAAGTAGACATTTTATATGGTCTAACTTTGCTATCAAGTTAAGGGGATATGTGGTATTCTCCATACCTAAGTGAGTGAATTAAGTTGTTTTTATAATGAGGTGTCATCTATAATGTATGTTTTCCAATTATATAGAGATAGTTCTCATTTAAGGGTTACTATCCAACTTACATATTTTTGGCATTTTTTTTAACATATTGCAAAATCTTACTCTAAAGATTGATTTCTTTATAATATGGATAACTTGAGCTCAGAGAAAGTTACCTAAATTCACGGTGGGGTGCAATATCTCTCATTTTGACTAGGGAGGCTGGGTAGATTTTATTTTTCTTTAAATAAAAAAATTATTGATTTTTACTGTTTGTATATAGAAAGATAAATTTAAAAAATTTTTTTTACTATGAGTGTATATGAAACAAAACTATTTTATTTCTACTTACAGGACTCAATTTATTGATGATGCATACCAGGAAGTACTAGATCTGCTATTGCCATTAAATCTTGAGGTGATTGTTGAGCGAAATTTATCTTGGGAGTGGTACCAGGAAGTTCCTTGTTTTAATGTAAATGCTCAGCTAAAGCCCATGGAGGTAACTTTTTGATTTCTGTTTCTGCTTGTTGATTTCTGTTTCGTTGGTTAAAAGTATTGCTTGGGAACATAAGATATTTTGGTGTAGATGTTACATATTGATCAGCTCTGTCAAAATTGAAATAGTAGCTATATTAACTTAGAATTCATTGAATGTTCTCCATTCATTCAGCAAACATTTAAATGGCTTCTCTGTGTTAGGTCCAATGTTATATATGGAGAGACAGTGGCAAAGAAGCTATGGCATTATCTCTGGCTTCATGGAATCTAACCAGTCTAATGCAAGGGTTAGCAGTCATGGTGTTAGAGGTGTGATAGTTAGACTATAAAAAAGTACATAGGCATGTAATTAAAGTAGTTATAAATTGTGGTAAATTCCATACAGGAAGCAAATATCAGATCTGATAAGTAGTCCGTTGGATATATTAATTTAGAACTTAGTGGAGAGGGCTAGGCTAGAAAAAATAATGTGAAAGTCATCAGCATCTAGATGGTATTTAAAGCCACGACAATATGTGAAATAACCTAGAGAAGGTCCTAGAAGAAATGGAAGAGGTTGACGATGAAGATGGCAAATGGGTCAGTTCCTTATGCATAACTTTACCTAGCTATTGCTTGATACTGCTTCACAGAACTCTAATGTAACTATGCAAAATTTCCTATCTTCCCTTTGACTGCATGGAAGTCAAAACTATATCACATGCTTTGCTAAAGTGATAGTAGCACATACTCTGTCTGGAAGGTTACTTTAAGAAGCCTACTCAGCAAATCCTCTTCCCTCCTCCCACCCCCAGTTTCCTTTCTATTTCTCTCCCCCCAAAAAAATGTATTCAAAAAGAGAAAACGATCATTTTTAAAGGTTTCAGATTTTAAAATTCAGAAATACATTTAGATTTTAAAACATGATCATCTCAACTGAAAATCCTTAAGCTCTTAGTGTATAAGATCATATTAGACTCCCTAACTTGTAAATGGAAAGTATCTTCTTTATTTTTTTTTAAGATTTTATTTATTTATGAGAGAGAGAGACAGAGACAGAGCACAAGCGCACAAGTGGAGGTCGGAGGCAGAAGGAAAGGGAGAGGCAGACTCCCTGCTGAGCAGGGAGCCTGATGCAGGGGCTCGATCCCAGGACCCCCGGGATCATGACCTGAGCCAAAGGCAGACACTTAACCAACTGAGCCACCCAGGTGCCCCAGAAAGTATCTTCCTAAGATAAAAATTGAAGTCTCTCCATATTTTAAGACTACTGATAGAAACTTTTAAAACATAGGCAGCACGTTTTACCCAGCATACTGCACAGATCCTCTCCTTAGTAGGCCCAGGTCTTAGGCAGAGATCTCTGTGGGGCAGCAGGGACACCATTTTGCTCCCCTCTTCTCCAGGAATAATGCTTGCAGCATGTTCAGGTGATATTGCAGACCATCTGTAAAAGGGCTGGCTGCCTTCCAGGGCAGATGAAATTGGGTCTTTCACTGTCCTGATCCACCTGAATTGTCAGCAGGTATGGACCTGGGTCCACATATTTGACCCCTCCTGGATCAGGGAGAGGTTGGAATCAGTTACTCTAATGCATCTAGACTAAGTGCTGCATCTTGTGATTTCTGACTTGTCAGACATTTGGGAGTAGCAGGATAGCCTGTCCTGACATGTAGGAGCCATGGACCAGCAGTCCTGGGATCCTTATAGTTCTTGCAACTTCCTGGACCGAGCTGTTGGCAAGACTGAAGAGTGATCATTAATATCAGTATTTGGGGGGCATTCAGTATACATGTACTAATTGAAAGACATGGTTTAGACATGGTTGTAATATTTAACTTCAGCTTGTTAATTTATATGAACATACTATTTTTGTAATACCAGATACATAATAAACACAAGGTCACATGAGTAAGTGAAAACACTGGATTAGTATATCATCTTTGAAATATAGTCAAAAGGAATCCTGGTACAAATAAAACTCATTTTGTGGGATTAAAATTATTTCCTTGAGATGATTAAAACATATCAATTTAAAACTCATAGTTTTGTTTTGTTTTGTTTTTTGTCTCACTGTATTTTAGTTCTCCAGAGAAACATAGTCAATAGGATGTGTGTATTTGTGTGTGTGTGTGTGTGTGTGTGTGTGTGTGTGTACACACACTTGGTCTGGATACAGTAGACTGACTTCTTGATGACTCAGTTTTAGCGTCTCCCTGACACTGAGGATGAGGTTCAGGAGAGGTTAAAAATGTGGTCTCCTGAGGCAGGCTGCAACAGCTGTTAACTACTTGAGTGGATCATGAAGAACCAATTTCATCCTAGTTGGTGTGCCCGAGAAGGTGGCTGGGTATTTGTAGATGGTCTGTGCATCCTGTATGTATTCTATATACACATCATATATGTAACATCTTGAATAATACTGGACCAAATATGTAGATCCTATGGTCTAGGCAAGTTGACGTAGAATTAACCATCATAGCTTTCGATATAGTTCTTATGTTGGTGATTTTAGGCTAAATTCACAACACATGGGGTTTTGAGTTAGTGCATGAGTTTAAGTGAATTTAAGTCTCAGCTTCTTATACAATTAAATCTCAGCTTATACAATCAGGATATATTCTTTATACCTAGGACTCTTTGAGGTCCAAACTAAAAAATAATTCGTATAAAACACACTGTGAATTATTTTTCATGATGCAAATCAATATTTTTGAGTAATTTGTATTTGTAAATTGAGGTGCTTAGTAAGTAAAAAAATGCAAAGTAGATAAATGAAAGTTCATTTTAAAGGTTTTAAATTATTAGATTAATTGATATGTTCATAAAAAAACTTATCATTCATAGTTTCATTGGTATTGACATCTAATTTATGTATTTCGCAAAGTACTAAGATCATTCATTTAGGAAACTGAATATCCTATTAGTAGAAATATCTAATGCATTAAAAAATTGGTTTGTAGAGGACTGAAATGAAACACTTGCTTTTCAGAGTAAGAGAATTTCTAACTACATAAAGTAATAATGTTAAAATAAGCAAATCTTTCTTTTCACAGTTCATTCTTAGTCAAGAAGATATAACAACTATTTTTAAAACATTATATAGCAATATATGGTACGAAGAAGGTGGTGGTGCCTCATCTGCAGGAGTAAAAGATCAGAGTAGTATTAATAGTGGAGCTACTAATGCTTCACACCATTTAGAAGGTATGTTCTTAACCTCAAATTAGCCTTCCCCTCTCCATCCCTAATCCCACGTTTCTTCCTCCCTCCTCTCCATTCTCTAGTTTTGAGTTTTTTGAAAATAAGATTTATAGATCTTTTATAATTAGCTAATCCAATCTGGGTATCTCTAAATTGTCTTTTATTAGGCATTCTGTTGATTTTTTTTTTCGTTGAATCAAAATTCCTAGTTGTATTGTGACAAAATTCCTTCGTATTTATTCTTGTTATCCCAAATGCCCTATACATCCTTATTTTCAATTTTTCTCCCCATTCCCCTCTTCTCTCTCATTCCTAGTGCAGCATATATCCCAGATGGAATATTTTATATTAGAAGTATCAAAATATTAATGATGTCAAGAAAGAATGATCATTAGTAAATGATGAATTTCAACATGTATCTGGAAGATAGATGGGTGTAATAGGGCAGAGGGAACTATAACGCAGAAAGAGGTTGTATCTAATATTGGATTTAATGTGGTGTGTGGAATCTGACTGGGTTCTAAATTAAGCACCAGCACATAAGAGAGAATTGGGTCACTTAAGGCTGCTGGGAGGACTGTGCTTCACAAGAATAGAGTTCTCATTTTGGGGGATCCTCAAACCTACTTACCTCCAAATGAAACCTATTAGTCTTCCAGACCCACTCTTGCAAAGCCCTGAGATAACACACACCTTTTCCAGTCAGGGAGAATCCTACCACTAAAACAACCCTATGCTTATAACATTATAGGAAACTCTATTCTTACTGGGTAGAATAATCAGCCCAATCCTTTATTAAAATATTCATGGTCAGGTGAAGAAAATAGCAAGAACTTAATCATAAAAGAAACCAGGATAACAGAATACTGTTTTTATGAGTGAAACTGAAATAATTCAGGTAACAAGAGAATGTAAACAAACAGAAAACAAACTCTAATTCATAATCAGAGGATTTTGAAAATATAGAAACTGAATCTTACCATCACTGTCTTCCACCCTCTCAAGATAAGAGTTCTTGGAACCCAAAAATATGATGGGTGAAATTTTGAAACAGAACAAATGCAGTAAGCATGAGGTTAAAATGTAAGTACTGAGTTGGAATATATAGTTGATGTAATCTCCCATGACACAGCAGAAAAATAAGCCACAGAGACATAAAATGAGATAAAACTTAAGAAGTATAGATCTTTCAAAAGTTCAAAAGTTTCAGAACAAAAGCAAGCTGTTTATTAGGGGCTTGGGAAAAAAGTGATTGGAATCAGATTATCATGAAAAAAACTGGATGGGATGGAGTAGATGGATGATTAAAAGACGATGGAGCACTATAGTCAGATTTCTAAGGAAAATGATTTTGAAGTTAGGATTCTATATATAGTCAAACCATAAAATGTGAAAACACAATAATTCTCAAATTTCTAGTGACTCAAAGTTTACTTCTTTCATACTCATTCCTAAAGAAATTAGTTTGAAAATATAATCTAGCAAAACAAACAGGGAATCCAGGAGAAAGGAAAACATGGGATCCAAAAACAATGGGCCTCCTCAGAAGTCCATTGAAAAGGAATCCCAAAATTTTCCATTTTATTGGCCTAGAAAGTCCTTGGTTTGCCATAAGAAAAATTTTAAAAGGGGCGCCTGTGTGGCTCAGTCATTAAGTGTCTGCCTTTGGCTCAGGTCATGATCCTAGGGTCCTGGGATCGAGCCCCACATTGGGCTCCCTGCTCCAGGGGAAGCCTGCTTCTCCCTCTCCCACTCCTGCTTGTGTTCCTGCTCTCGCTATCTCTCTGTCAAATGAATAAATAAAATCTTAAAAAAAAAATTTTTTTTAAAGTTGAAGAATGTCTTTAAAAAAAAAGATAGCATAAATTTCATATAATATATAGAATGAGGGATTAATTAACTACATTACATAAGTGATATGGAAAAGATGACATGTTTTTGGTTCCTAAGAAGAGAGAAATCTCTACCAAATAGTGTAGTCTAGTCTAGAAGTGAAGTGGATTAAGATTTTGCACAAGAGATTCTCTCTTCTTTTTTGAGAGTTGGACTAGTTGTGATGTAGCAGCAGAAAAAAGTGTTATGATAAACTGTTAATTCTCTTCATTGAAAATTATCACAGTTATAGTTAACACATGGAAAACTTACTGTGTAAATAAGAATGTAATTAACACATGTTAACGTAGAGATTAAGACATAACTGCCCAAAGCTGGAAGATAGGAGAGATAGAGGAAGTTGTAAGGACTTAAATAGTGGGGAATGTAAAGATAATGTCTAAAATGAAATGAAAAATAGACATTTAAATACATTACAGTTTTAATAATTTTCTTGAAATTTGCACATACTCCAAAGTAGAAGGAATAAGGTAATGAATCCACACATACCCGTCAACACAGTTTGAACAACTGGTGTCACGTGGCTGCCTTTATCACAGCTTTAACTCTGCATTTTCTTCCCCCACCCCATTAGATGATTTTAAAGCAAATCTCAGATGTTATACCTTTAATTGGTATTTAAGCAGTAAGAACTTTACTTTTTATTTATTTTATTTATTTTTTTAAGATTTTATTTATTTGAGAGAGAGAGAGCAAGAGTTGGGGCGCAGGGCAGAGGGAGAAGCAGACTCCCTGGGGAACCCAGTGTGGGGCTCGATCCCAGGACTCCGGGATCATGACCTGAGCCAAAGGCAGATGGTTAACCGACAGCCACCCAGGTGCCCCAGAACTTTACTTTTTAAATGTAGTCATAGTAACATTATCACAGTAATATATCCCATTAGCTGTACTTCCTGTAAACCATGAATATCCTGGTAGGCTTCATTTTCTCCTGATTGTCTCAGAAATGTTTTTTTTAAAAGTTTGTATTTTTTTTTTTAACAATGATAAAGGAATCAATTCACAAAAAAGAGCCAACAACTTTAAATGTACTGTAACTAATAACAGAGCTTCAAAACATGCAGCAAAAATTGACAAAACTAAAGGAAGAAATACACATACACAGAATCAGTGGTGGATTTAGCATACCACTCTTAGTAATTGATAGAATATAGACAAAAAAGTCAAAATACAGAACATTTGAACACTGTTAATAAACTGACCTGACATTAGTGTAATACTACACTCAGTAATTGCAGAATGCACTTTTTTTTTTAAAGGGCTCTTGGAATATTCACAAGGATAATATTCACTGTTCTGGGGGGCCATGAAGTTTTCTGGTCATATGGAATTAAATTAGAAATCAGTAGCAATAGGGTGTCAAGAAAGCTTGAAATACTTGGACATTAAACAAGTTTTAAATAACCTGTGAGTCAAAAAAGACAAGGGAAATTAGAAAAGTGTTTAAGCTGGAAGGTAATGAACATAAAATCTAATAAAAACTTGTGGGATGCAACTAAAGCAGTGCTGAAAGAACTTTGTAGCTATAAGGGATTTGATGAGGAAAGAACAAGAGTTTAAGAGATTAAATCTTTTGCCTGGAGAAAAAGAAGAGCAAATTAAATCCAGAGTAAATAAAAGGAAGCAGTAACACAGATAAGAGTAGAAATCAACGGAAGAGAAATAGATATACAATGGAGAAAATTAGCAATGTCAGAGATTGTTTTCTTTGGAAAAAATTAATAAATTTGATAAACCCTTAGGACAAGGGAGAGAGACAGAGAACAAATTATCAGTATTGGAATTAAATAGTTATTGCAGATTGTTATCAGGACAATAAGGGACTATTATGAATAATTTTGTGAGAATGAATTCTACAACTTGTTTGAAATGGACAAATTTCCTGGAAAACACAAAGTTGCCAAAACTGACATAAGAAGAAATAAGACGTCTGAGTAGCCCTGTATCTGTTAAAGGAATTGAATTCCAGTGATAAATTCTATTAAATACTGAAGTTTGAAATAATACCAGTGTTACACAAACTCATCTGGAAAATAAAGAGGAAACAATTCCTTGGCCATTTTCTAAAACAAGCATTACCCTGGTAAAAAAAAAAAGAAAAAGACTTTTCAAAAAAAGAATATCACACACCAATATCCTTCATGAACACAGACATGGAAATTCTTAACATATTAGCATACTAAATCCAGCAATAAGGATATAGGATATTTCATCTTGACCAGATGAGAATTATCCCAAAATGCAAAGTTGGTTTGACAGTCAAAAATCAATTAATATAATAAACCAAATTAATAAAGAGGGAAAAAATCATATCTCAGTAGATGCCGGAAAAGCATTTGACAAAATTCTGCACCTATTTGTGATGAAAACTAAGAATATCTAAAAGGCATACTTAATGCTGAAGTGTTAAGTTTTCCCCCTAAAGTAGACACAAGTCAGAAATGTCCACAATCATCATACCAGGTTAACTCATAGTCATGGTCAGGGTAATAAGACCAGGAGAAGGATTAATAGATCTAAAGAGTAGAAAGAAGTAAAAATGCCTTTGAGTAGGTAGCCAGGAAAAAACCCAAAACAAAGGGCAAAAAAAATACTGTGAAAGACAAAGATTAATACTATCTGATTTCAAAATTTGCAGTAAATCTAAAACAACAAGTTAACACAGATTTTTAAAAAAGAGTCCAGGAAACACACAAGTAGAGTCAACTGATTTTCAACAAAGACTAGTCAATAGGGAAAGGATAAACCTTTTAACAGGAAAAGTTGAACCTTGTTCCTTAATGCCATACACAGAAATTAATTTGAGGTGGATGAAAGACATATATTTGAAAGCTAAAACTTTTAAGCTTCTAGAAGAAACCATAGAAGAGTATCTTCATGATCATGGGATCATAAAACACTAATTATAAAAAGTTTATAGCCTTCATAAACCTTTTTAGCTTCTCCTTATCAAGAGATGGTATCAAGATTGTGAAAAGTGAGGCCTCAGTCTGGTATACATATTCATGATATGTGTATCTGACGTTGTTTTCATATCTAGAATACCTGAAAACTCATTGAAATTAATAACTTAAACTAAAATAATTACCAGACGAGTTGGATACTTGGGAAAGGATGATATATTAAATGGAAAGTAAGCAGATGAAAATGTGCTAACATAGTTACTTATCAGGAAAACTTCACTTTACCAGATGAGTCAGATTTTAAGACTGACAGCTGCAAGTATTGATGAGAGTTTGAAACAACTGAGACTCAGGTAATGCTGTTGGGAATGTGAAGTAGTATAACTACTTAGAGTTCGGCAATTAACATATATCTACCCTGTGACAAACAATTCCAGGTCCAAGTATTTCTTCTACCCCCTCCAAAATAGGTGTATATATACACTAAATGACTTAGGAATATTTGTAGCAGATTTGTTCATAATCGCTTAAATATGGAAACAACCCATATGTTCATCAGTCTAGAATAAATAGGAAAATTGTGTATTTTCATAGACTGCGTAAGAAAGCGTTAACTGCTGAAACGTGTGACAATGTGGATGAATGTCAGAAATATGTTAACTGCCTGAAGCCAAACATGAAACAGGTTTTACTTTAAATGTTACTCTATGTAGAATTTAAGAACAAACAAAACTAATCTTTGTAATTAAAATTAGAATGGTAGGGAGGCTGGGGAAGAGCTGGAAAAGGGTATGAGAGAACTTTCTGGAATGATGTAAATACTCAGTATCTTAATGGGAGTGTTGGTAGCATGGATGTACAAAATCTCATTAAATTGTTCAGCTAAGATCTACATATTCCACTGATGTAAATTTTACCTAAATTAAAAATAAGTTACGTGATGTGGTGGCACTGGTCTCTGCAGTTGGGTAGCATGATAATTAGCAATTGCTATGTTTTAATAAAAAGCCCGTTTAAAATATTCCATGTACATATAATGCCTTGACTCAAAATGTAGAATGCAGGAAAGAATGAATTTTGGATCCTCCTTTTCAGTGGAACAGTTGTTTAAAATATCTAAAATATCTTCTTTGGTTTTAGTTTTTTGAAGTAAAATTTGAATATTAAAGTATGCGCCAGGTAATCTAATAAGTATTTTATACATGCTCTTTTATTTAATCCCCAAAACAAACCCAGTGGTTAGTTCTATTATTCTCACCTTACAAAAATGGCAACGGAGGCACCAAGTGTTTTATTCCTAAACTATTATGGAAAGAATCCTAATCTGGGAGTTACTGAGTTCGACTTCTGAATTTTCTAATCTTTATTATTTTGTTGAGTAACATTCTCTGAAAATTCTGTTAAACCTGTTTAAAACCTATTTTAATGACTTCTACCTTTCTTGACTTTTTTATCCAATAACTTTTAACTTTTCCAAGGAACGACTGTAGTGACTGCTGCCGTGGTGGAAGTACATTCACAGGCCTCTCGAGTTAAGACAACATTGAATATGAGCTTCAGGACCGACTATCTCACCATGGTACTGTATAGTCCAGGTCCTGAACAGGTGAGTTAGGGAGAAAAGAAAATATTTTCTCACATGATGAAAATTATATAGGTGAATGCTTATTATTAAAGTAACAGTTGTTAATATTTCATATATATTTTGGAGTCTCTTTTCCTCTGAAAAATGTTACTGATCATTTCACTTTAATAACAGATTTAACCATTACCCTTTTAAGATGAGTTATCTTTCCTATAGGCAGCGATGTAAAAAATAAATTTTTAAATTAAATTTTTTTTGGACTTTCATTAGCAAGCCCTATGGAGATAGAGAAGGTGGTAGTTTGTATCTTAAAATATGTATTAGACTTTGTTTTTGTGTAATATTTGTATTGATTTTCTCTTCCACAGACTTCCTTTACAGATGTTCGTGATCCTTCTCTGAAACTTGCTGAATTTAAGTTGGAGAATATCATAAGCACGGCAAAAATGTATACAGATGACTCAACATTTTCTTCCTTTTCATTAAAAAACTGTATTTTAGATGATAAAAGGCCCCATGTCAAGAAGGCAACTCCTAGGTAATAGTGTTTTACTTGAGAAATGTTTGATAATATTTTATAAAACATATTCCTAAAGTTGCATGTTTGTTTTCTGGGTACATCCCAAGATCTTTAGAGCTTCAATTTAATGGAGTTACGGTTCTCAGTCAGCATTTAAAATGTCCTGGTTCAGTTATGTGCTGTTCTTACTGGATGGTCAGTGGAGTTAAGTAGAAATAATCAGTGCAATTAAATTGGATTTTTAAATTTATCTCTATTATCTAAATTATTATTGATCTCTGCAAGTTGTAAACATGAAAACATGAAAAATTAAGGGAAAACATGAAAAATTAAGACAAATATGCTGAGATTCTAAGTTCTAATTTCTTACAGAGTACTTCCTAGTTTATGAAACAGTTGTGCTCCGGAAGTTTCTAAGTCTGTTGTTTGAAGTACTTTGTGATCTTCCTAGGAGAAATAACTTCAGAATGCTGGTTTGCTGTTAGTAAAATGGATAAGAGGTCTTTTGCCTTTTATTGGTGTGTTTGGTTATTTGTAAGATACTCACAGGAATTGTTATTATTGTGTTTTTCAGAATGATAGGACTGACAGTCGGGTTTGACAAAAAGGACATGATGGATGTAAAGTATAGAAGAGTCAGAGATGGTTGGGTGACTGATTTAGTCCTTCAAGAAACTTATATTTGTGCAAGTGTGGAATTTCTGCTGACAGTTGCAAATGTCTTTCTTGAGGCCTACACCACAGGCACTGCTGTAGAAACCAGTGTTCAAACATGGACTGCTAAGGAAGAAGGTTAGTTATTAGCCAAAATATTTCGTATCTGTATTACTGAAGTGCTACAGTAGCGCTCACCATTGATTACCTTTCTAGATGATGAGGTTAAGTGAATCTCAGTATCTCTGTCAAATAATTAAATAAATACCTTTAAAAAATAAAAAAAATAAAAGGAAAACTTAAATGTGCTTTCTGGTAGAATGCGCAGTTTGCCTGTGTTTCAGGATGTAAATGTATACTGGGTTCACAAATTATGAGACCTATATTAGAATAAGCAAAATATACTTCCCCACAGGCAGCAATTTCAAAGAATTTTTTTGATGAAAACACGTAGGGAGAATAACCAACCATTACTTTTCATAATTAAAGATAATATTGTAACTTAAATTTCTCTTTTATTTTTGTTATTTTTATAGCTCTCCACTATCTTTTACATATTTCATTCATTGTGGTAGAGCAGTAGTAGTATCAAGGTGAGAGCTGGAAACTAAGTTTCCAGCTCTGCCATTAAAGGGTTTTTTTTCCCCACATTTTTAAATTTTAAATGTTCTGAAGACTATAGCATCTTGAACTCTTAAACTAAGAAAATTGCAGTAGATTCCTTTGGGATCGAAGATTCTTTTATTTTTTTTACTTGAAAAAACATTTTATCACAAATAATTATTCATAAACAATATGTATAGCAAAGATTTATAAATATTTTAAAATGTGAACTTATTTTTGTTTGTATTTAGTATCTGTACAGGAATCAGAGAAGTGGGAAATTAATATTATTATTAAAAATCCTGAAATTGTGTTTGTGGCTGATATGACAAGAAGTGATGCTCCTGCATTAGTCATTACAACACAATGTGAAATTTGTTGGAAAGGTGACCTTGAGAATAATACAATGACTGCTGCCATTAAAGATCTTCAAGTGAGAGCATGCCCATTTCTTCCAGTCAAGAGAAAAGGCAAAATCACGACTGTGAGTTTACTCTTTCATTATCTGCTTAATTGTAAACTATTTTGGATTTAGTATATACCACTTTAGAAAACTACCTGAATACTTTTACCTTTTTTTCTTCTCAGAGAGCCTAGTCTATATTATTATTACACCAGCTTTGAAACTCTTTTCTTTCCCCAGTTGCTCCTCGGTGTTGTATGTATTTGTGGGAATAGTTGAAGATGTTGTTTTCATCTGGACGCTTCTCAAAGACCTCACCGTGGCTTTCTGACCACATCAATTCCTCTTAGGTCTTTGAGACTTTCTACCAGTTGTTTGCTTTGTTGTTTCAGTTTTATTATTTTTAATCTTTTTCTCCCATCTGGACATTTTTGCTCGGATATGTTTTTTCTTTTCTACATATAACTTACTTGAACATTCAGCCATTTGCTTTAATAAACGTGACATTTACGTTTTACTCTCTGGTAGCCTCTTGGCCTTCTACCTCTTCATAACTGATTAGTTTATTTCTTCAAAGACATACATCTTTTTCAACTACCTATTACTTCTACTACTCATATAGAACACTTATAAAATGTGTAGACGTCTGCAAGGAGTAGTGGAAGCATAAATGTCGTAGTAGCATAAATACCATCAACATGGAAATATAAGCTATAATTGTGTTATAAGTAAATACATATATATTAGGATACAAGAGAGTTTATTTTCCTAGTTTGCAAGGCTGATGGCTCACCACTAAGAAAAGAGGAAATAGAAATGGAGGGGATATGGATTCTCTTTTAGGTTATAATTTAGAAATTTTACATATATTTCTTTTATTTGTATCTGGCTTTGTTAAAAGACAAAATCCGACCAAGTAAATTTGAAGATCTAATTGGCTTTATTAAGCAGTTCATGCATTTGGCTGCATTCCAGAAGCTCCTAGGTAGGAGTTCTATAAAATGAAGATTCTTTATAGGAAGGAGGATGGGGCAAGGAAGTTATTAGCAGAAGAAAGGGTTGTCTCAGACAAGGTCATGTTCCCTAAGGGGGAAAAGAGGGAGTCTTCTTGGTGGATTAAATTATCGTCCTTTGGGGGATGGAGAAGGGTCTGTGTGACAGACTACCTCATTGGTGCAGGACAAAAAATTCCAGATCGACTAAGAGTGCATTTCTGGGGAAGGTTGAGACGGCATTTAGGTTAAGTATTAAGTTTAGTGATTTAGCTTAGCATACATGACTCCATCTTGATCCCGTGGTTTTCTTTTTAACAACTGGAACTTAGCTGTCTGACCACACTTATCTTCACAAAGGGTTGGGGAATGTAGTCTTTTTTTCTGAGCTACCTTTTGCTCAGATAAAACTTTTATTTCTATAGAAGAGGAGTTTCATGAGCTCGCTGTGAAGGCGCACACACAACTTGTGTCTTTCCACAACGTCAGCTTTATTCAATCATAAAGCAAAGTTAAATCACAATTAGAAAGCGGGTTCAGGATTCCAAACTCAGTGACAATTCACCATATGATTAAACTTGGCTCCTTACACAGCACACAAAGCAGGACAGAAGACAAACCGCGCAACAAACGAGGTAGCAGAGGGGTGCAGGAACCAAATGCGAAGTCAGTCTGTGGGCGTGCAGTTGAGATAAGGCCCCTGTCTGGCCCAGGTCAGCGCTTGGCACTTACTGCTTCTGATGCTCAAGCAGGGAAGGATCTCGGTTCTGTTCGGAGATGCACTGGGCAGAGCCTTCGGGGACAGTTGCCTTTTTTAAGTGGTCAGGTCTGAAGAGTCTGACAGTTTGCTGCCCAAATCCTCCCCTTTTCAAAGGGATTTAATCAGTTTTGGGTCTCTGCAGACCTCCTCTGGTTCTGCTGCTTATCAGTTCCGGAGTGTCAGCTGACATCGGTCCCGCCAGTATCTCCTAGCTGCAGTGCCTTTAACGGCTTGCATCGTTGCTGAGCACAGGCTCCTGCTTGACATGAGAGACTCCATTTTGCTCCCACAAGGAGATATCAGGTAACAATTAGAGGTCCTGCCCTATTGGTTCACTCAGAGGTTTCTTTTTCCACACAAATAATTCGTATTTGTCTTTTCTCACCTATAGAACATATTCCTCTCGTCCTTAAGGGATACAGCCTCAGAGTCCAGGATCTTTAGGTGATAGTTTTCTTTGTTCAGTCTGCTGTGACTTCTCTTTTTTGATCATCTATTAACTAATAGACAAATAAGCCACGGCATTTCAGCAAACACTCCATCACCACACACACAACCACTATATAATGGTGGTATAAGGACAGGATAATTGCAGTTTAAAAACCCCTTCAGAAAAGTAAGAATGGGGAGCACTTGGTAGTCACTTATCCATAACGATTATCACCTCCTTCTGGCAGAAATGTGAAAATTTGAAGCTCTTGCAATGGAGTCAAGTTCCTGGGAGAGCCCCTGTTGGAGTCTTCCATTTTCACTCCCATGGAAAAACATGGTCATTTCCTCAGGTGGCCCCAGCTTTCCCCTCTAAAAGATTTTTTTTTTAAAACCATTATTCTCTGTAGACACATCTGAAGTGGCTATTGTCTTTTTTTGGGAGCTGCAATGTTTTCACAGCTTACTTCCTACTGAGTTGGTTACTTGGAGATTGCTCTAGCAGTTGAATTAACAAAAGGCTTTTCTGCATGGCTGATAATGGTTTTTTTGGCAGTTTTTCATTCCTTAAACATTTAATTTAGTTCTAGGTAGTTCCAGGTGTAAGCAACCGTAACCAAAGAATGCATTCATTCATTCATTCTAGAAAACTCCTGTTTTATTTACTTATCTCTATATTCTACTGATTCTGCCTTCATCCTGATTTAGTAAAGGCTACTTTAGGAATAAGTTTGGGCAAGGGGGACAGGCACCATCTGTACTCTATAATTTTTGTTGTTTTTGCCACGAGCTAGTTCCCATGTTTGATTTTAACAAAAATTGCCAGAGAAAGACTAGGAGCCGCAGTCTTAACCTCTTGCTGAGGCTACTCTTAGACCCTGAGTCTCCTCAGCATTTTCCTTTCTCTTGTAGGGCTTTGCAAACAGCAGAGTGAAGGAGCTAATAAATAGCAACATTCTAAATATTCTAAACCTGTCTGGCAGTAGGCTTTTTTTTTAAAGTACATTGTCTGCCTTCCTAGGTATCACCAGTAGTAGCAGTTTCACCAGATATTTTGCTATGGCATTGTTAAAGTCATCAGCTTTGTATTTTTGTAGCCGGCGGGCAGGGGCGCAAGAGCACCTGGCTCTGGGGTCCCAAACAGACAGCGTTTGGCCACTGGCCACTTGCACAATCCAGAGGCAGAGACATGAGTGGCGTTGAAACAAGGAAGGAATTTATTTCAGTGAGGCCAACACCGAGAACACAATGGGCCAGTATCTCAAAGATTGTCTCCAAAGTGCCAAAAACGTTTCTAGGTTTTATATAAAGAAAAAGTGGGGCAGAGGTCGTGGGTCCATGCAGGTGGGCGGTAAAGGTCAGGTCGATCATTTTCTTGGGGTTAGTCACTTGGAGTCTTGTTGGTTCAGGACATCCTCTCTGCTTAAGGGGGTAGTTTCAGTTCCCATCAGGGAATGCTTTGCCCCCAAGGTCTTTTGCCTGAGTTAAGAAATAACATGGACAGGGGCGCCTGGGTGGCTCAGTTGGTTAAGTGACTGCCTTCGGCTCAGGTCATGATCCTGGAGTCCTGGAATCAAGTCCCATATCAGGCTCCCTGCTCAGCAGGGGGTCTGCTTCTCCCTCTGACCCTCCCCCCTCTCGTGTGCTCTCTCTCTCTCATTCTCTCTCTCAAATAAATAAATAAAATCTTTAAAAAAAAGAAATAACATGGACAGAAAAACTTAATCATTTAGAAAGTACAGATAGAGGTCAAAATGGAGGTAGTTGATGTCCTTTCTCATTTTAAAATATCCCATGCCCATTAAGTTGCTAAATCAGTCAGCTATTTTGACTTTGTTACAGTGGTGCCAACTTCTAGGTATGAAATTCTGTATTAGGATATTAGGCTGCTGTAACAAGAGATACCCCCCTCCCCCAATGAAGTAACAAAAGCATGGTTTAATTACATTTAAAAGATTCTTTCTTTCCATTTTGTTGCTGGGCTATTCCTAGGATGTAACTTAATCTGCTTGTTCAAAGAAATTGATTTTTTCTTCTTGGTCCCATTCTGTTGACCATTTTTGAAATTGCTGACCATTCCACTCTATCTAGTGATAGCCTTCTGCTTAGTAATACAGCTCAAGAATTTGACAAATAACTTGAAGGTAAATCACTTCCAAGATTTGAGAGAACTTCTCTGTCCTTCCCCACCTCCCACCCCTTGGGGACTTTGCAAGGTTGCCTTGGTAGCTTGCTTCTTTCTACTTTGAAGCAGACTTTTTTAACATCACTTTCAACGTGTAGATGGATTATTACTGTGCTACAAGTTGCTTCCTTCACAGATGGAAATAGAAGTCTAGGGAAGGGTAACCGTGTGTTAAGGGAAACTTCTAAGATTATAGGGAATTTTGAGAAGTGTATTTATGGCCAACCAGCAGTTTTGGCCACATACATTTTGATAAGTTTTGTTAGTGGAACTTTAATTGATATTGTATTCATTTTATGTTAAAATAAAGTTTCTTAATTTGATATTGATTGGGGTCCATGGATGCTTAGTAGAACTTCATGAAAGTTTTAAAAATATATGTAAAGTGTTGTAAACATGTATTTTTCAAAAAGAGAATTTATTTAATTTTCAAGGGATATATGGCACCAAAGTTTTCTACCCATATGGGTAACATATGGGATATTCTCATCTTTGCTTCCTGTAGAGTATAAATTTATATTTGACCTTATTTCATCCACTAAGGTTTTATAATAATTTCTGAATAAATTCCAAAATCCTAGTAAAAACTAAATCATGATCTACATATTGAATTTATTTTATATCATCATAAATAGCTATCAGCTTTTTAAGTTTTTATTCAAATTCAGTGTAATACTGTTTCAGGTGTACGGTATGGTGATTCAACACTTCCACACAACACCCGGTCCTCATCACAACAATTACACTCCTTAATCCCCATCACCTGTTTAACCCATCCCCGCACCCGCCTCCTCTCTGGTAACCTTAGGTTTGTTCTCTATAGTTAAGAGTCTGTTTCTTGGTTTGCCTCTTTCTCTCTCTCTCTTTTCTTCCTTCCCTTATGTTCATCTGTTTTGTTTCTTAAATTCTTAAATGAGTGAAATCATATGGTATTTGTCTTTCTCTGACTGACTTATTTCACTTAGCATAATACTTTGTAGCTCCATCCATGTCGTTGGAAATGGCAAGATTTCATTCTTTTTGATGACTGGGCTGTCAGCTTTTTGTTTTTTTAAAAGATTTTGTTTATTTGAGAGAGAGAGAGCACGAGCTGGGTGAGAGGCAGAGGGCGAAGTAGACTCCCCGCTGAGCAGGGAGCCCAATGCTGGGCTCAGTCTCGGGAGTCCAGAATCATGACCTGAGCTGAAGGCAGACGCTTAACTGACTGAGCCACCCAGGTGCCCCTGGGATGTTAGCTTTTTTAACGAATTTATCTTATTCTATAATTTTCCTAAACTTGTTACCTGTACTAATATTTTTAATGATGTTAGATTTTCTAAAAATCACCTGTAAAAGTAACATTGTTTGTTCCTTGAATGACAATAATGATTTGTCCTCATTGTATTCCCGTTATTAAGTTAGGTGATATTAGTATTATTTTAATATTTGCTTGTGAATTTATATATGCAGCCTTTAGCATGTTGAGAAATTTTCCCTAATTTTGAAAGAATCTTAATTATGAATAAATGTGGAATTTTATTGAGTGCTTACTACCATCTATTGAAAGAAGTATAATATTTTTACTGTTCTTATAATAAATTACATTAATAGTTTTTCCTATGGCATATTAGCCTTACATTTATGGGTAAGATACCCTAAATTGGAGACTATTTTAATTTCTTCTGTATTTTGTTAAAAGTACCTTAGGGGATTCTATAATAGAAGACTAACTCTCCTGTAAGAGTGAGGGGGCAATTTATAGTGAGCTCTTGTGAGTTTCTGTAGATGTTTTCTATAGCCTAAGATTGCTTCTTTGAAGAGGAAGCAGTAGCAGCAGGAAAGGAATGCATCGGTAGTGAAAATCAGGTAAGACTGGGAGCAGTTAGGTGAGCGAGTAGGAAGGAGAAAAAAAATGATAGAAATAGCATTGAAATCACAATGGTTATAGTTGAAGACAATATTAGGAAAACAGTTCCATTTTAAGAAGTGATTTTACATCATTAAATCCATCTATATGTACTGTGTTACAACTTGACTGTAATGTAGTTTTGGCATAAACACATTTACTCTTAATTACCAGCTACATTTTTAATCTTCAATAACTAGACTTGAAAATAAAGAAATTGGGTAAGGATCAACATATACCTTCGTATTTATTTTGGAAAGGGGCTATTACGAAAAGTTTCTAAGTTATAGAAAAACTTTTATATGTATAATATTTTTTGGTTTTGTTTTGTCTTATGTGAGATGAAGAGATAACACAAATTTTATGTTGAAAATCTTGGATCATGTATTGTAAAGTGGTTATAATTTTCTGTCCTTGAAGTTTAAGAAATAATAAACTGAATATTTATGTACTGGTTGATCTTGCTAATTTTATTAGAATAATGGTAGATTTTAATGTGATTTCTTTGGGGAATGGGTTTGGATGTCATTTTTTTTCCCTTGATTTATTCTTCATTGTCCGTATAAGCAGAACTCTTAAGATGGCCCCCAAGATTTCTATTCCCTGTTGCATGTGCCCAGTATAGTCTTTTCTTGAATGTGTGTAGGATCGTAAATGTAATTAAGTCACTAATCAGTTAACTTTGAGTTAATCAAAAAGAGATTCTGGGTGGGCCTAACCTAATTTTTTAAAATGGTGAAACACCAAAATGATGGTTTCCTGCTGACCTTGAAGGAGCAAACTGGGGAGAAGACCACATGGCAAGAACCTGTGACTGACTAGTAGGAATAGAAAATTTTTTTTTAAAGATTTTATTTATTTATTTGAGAGAGAGAATGAGAGACAGAGAGCACGAGAGGGAAGAGGGTCAGAGGGAGAAGCAGACCCCCCGCTGAGCAGGGAGCCCGATGTGGGACTCGATCCTGGGACTCCAGGATCATGACCTGAGCCGAAGGCAGTCGCTTAACCAACTGAGCCACCCAGGCGCCCGACTAGTAGGAATAGAAAGCAGTCTCTGGCCAACAGCTAGCAAGCAAATGGAGATCTCAGTCTTAGGGCCACAAAGACATGAATTGTACCAACAACCTGAAGGAGCTCGTTTTTACGAGTAAAATAAAATTTTACTATATTAAATAAAACACATGGATGAGATAAAATATGGATGAGAAGTATCTCACCCATATATGATGAGATAACAGATTTCCCTAGTCAAACCTTCAGGTGAGGACAACCAGGTGACTGACACCTGATTTCAGCAAGATTCCTGACTCATGAAAACAGGGAAATAATAAATTTGTGTTAAGTTACTAGGTTGGTAGTAATTTGTTAGGCAGCAGTAGGAAACAAATACAGATGTTTGTCCCAGTAGTAAGATGCTGTTGTAGCAGCTATTTCAAATGTGGGAGCAGCTTTAGAGTGGGCAGTATGCAGAATCTGGAGGAATTTTATGGAGATGGGTAGACAAAACCTCAGTTGGGTTGAACAGACTCTTGGTAGGAATATGGTCGTTGATGGTGCTGCCAACAGAGGGCCTACAAGGAAGGTGAAAGACGTGTTATTGGAAATTAAAGGGATGGCCTGAAATGTAGTGACAAAGAGCTTTGCAAAACTGTGTCTTATAGTTGTCTGGAAAGCGGAACTCCTAAGTGACAAACATGGATATAAAGCTAAGGAGATTTCTGAGCTGCCTGATTCGAAGATGTTGCCTGATTTCTTACTGGTAATAGTAAAATGCTAGAGCGGAGAGATGAATTGAGGAAGAACAGTTAAACAAAAAGAACCAGAGAACCAGGACTTTATGATTTTGATATTTCTTAGCCTTCCAAATGGCAGAAGATGCTTAAAGTCAGAAATGGCTGTCAAAAATGTAGCATAGAGAAAAGACTGTGTGATTGTATAAATTTTTCCTAAATCTTAGGTCAAAAAATCATAGTGTTCAGACACACAGAAGGCCCTTTCAGATCTTCTCAATCACACTGAGGCTTCTAGGAATCATAAAGGTGTCATCCTTTAGCTGTCTCAGCAGGAGACCATGATTATCTCAAAAAGATCAGTGGATGTTGCTTTTGTCTAATGGAGTAAAGCCTTGTGAAATTTACAGAAGGCCCTCAAGGTTCTTGAGAAAATGATTTTAGCAGAAACACTGCCGGCATGGACTGGGAGGGACAGGGAGTACAAAATGGAGAGTGACTCTTTGGACCCCCAAAATCCTACTGGTGGGAAGCAGGATGATAAAACTACTGGGTTACAAATTTATGCTACCTTTTCTAGAAAAGGCAGGATGGTTCAGAGGGTAGAGGTGAGAGCCACAGACAGTTATTCCTAGTCTTTGAAACCTTATCAAGAAACTCATGGACCTGGCTGGATTTCAGGTTACTTTGGGCTAGTGACTTCTTCTGACCTTCCATTTTCCCCATTTAAACTGGAATATCTGTAATGTTATCCTGTGACTGCCCCACCATTCTATGTTGGGAAGATGGGAGCAGATACCTCCTCTTCCTTTCACAGATCGTAAAAGGGAAATTGTGCCCAGCAGCTGTACTTAATAGATTACACCCAGGCACTTCATCAGCACCTGTGCATGATTTAGATTTTAGACCTTGAGCTGATCAGAGATGAGATTTTAGATTTTTGCATCAGTGAGAAATAAATATAGCTTTTCCTATATGGATTATTTTTTTTAAACTTTATAATGGAGAAAATTTTACTATATTAAATAAAACACATGGATGAGATAAAATATGGATGAGAAGTGTCTCATCCATATATGATGAGATAACAGATTTAGATGATGAGATTTTAGACTCTGGGCTATAATGGTATGAGGCTATTAGAAACCTTAGGAGGTGAGTGAATATATTTTGCATTTGAGACCGATGTGAGTCTTTAGGGGCTAGAGGGGAGAATTCTACCACAGAGAAAACTTCAGTCAATTTATGATTATATTAAGAGTTATTTAGTAAATCTAATGTATTTATAATTTTTTCCTCATCTTTTGTAGCTTTTCCTGTATAGATTATTTTGTTTCAACTTTATAATGGAGAAAATTTTATTATATTAAGTAAAATAAAATACATAATACAAGTTTTATGGGGTTTTTGTATATTTAAGCATATTTAAGATCTTCTTTGACTTAACTGTTTTATTAGTATTGCTGTTGTTAATACTTTCTATTAGAAATGATAAGTATAAAAGAGAATAGTGTCATTGAGTCACTTGTGTTTTTAAAAAGTTACTTTAACTTGTTTTTTTAACATAGCTGTTACTGGGAATGTCTTTAAATAAAACTATTTTAGAACAATGTTAATTTGGTGTATTGAATTTTCTCTTGTAGGTTTTGCAGCCCTGTGACTTGTTCTATCAAGCTACTCAAATAGGTACAGATCCACAAGTGATTGATATATCAATAAAGTCCCTCACACTAAAGGTAAGTTAAAATGTAATCAGTTATTCATATCTTTAGGGCATCTTTTAAAAAAGTAGTAAAACCTAGAAATAAGCAATTATTATATCTTTTAATTGTTAAATAAAGAAAAGCCAAAAAAATAAGTCTTTTAATTGTTAAATATATCAAGTCTTTAAATTGTTAAATAATATTCCTGTTTAATTGTTAAAGTTTTAACAATAAATTGTTAATTGTTAAAATAAATTTTAAATGTCATTTAAAATTAAATTTTAAAAAAGTTAAATAATACTTTTGCATGAAAGTATACATGCGAAAAATGAAGCAGTTACATTTTTGAAAGTATTTTTATGTGACACATTATTTTCAGTGTATTTAATACACATTTGAATGTTGTATATTTTATTATTGGTGTGTGACTTCTTCTGTAGTTAACATCTAACATTGCGATGGTATACATAGTTGAACTTATACTTAGTCAATCTAATATCTGTAAGATTCAGGTAAATATTTTAGAAATTGAAATTAGGGGCACCTGGGTGGTTCAGTCGATTAAATATCCAACTGTTTTTTAACTTTAGCTCAGGTCATGATCTTGGGGTCATGGGATTGAGCGCCACATCAGGCTCCGCACTCAGCAAGGACTCTGCTCCAGATTCTTTTTCCTTCTCCCTCTGCCCTTTCCCCAACTTGTGCGTGTGTGCACAATCACTCTTTCTCTCTCTCTCAAAAGAAATAAATCTTTTTAAAAAATTGAAATTAGTTATAAAATTTTTATAGGCAATAAACTGTATGTATTTTATGGTAGTAATTTTAGTTTAATATTAATTCTTCACAATCCTTCAGCAAGTATATTTAAGATTTTTTGAAGTACCTAAATTTTAAAAGTGGTATGGGTAGATTTTTCATTAGCTTAAATTTTTCCCCTTAGGTTTCACCGGTTATCATAAATACTGTGATTACCATAACATCAGCACTTTATACATCCAAGGATACCATCCCACAAGAAACTACTTCTTCTACAGTACACTTATGGGAAAAGAAGGATACAAAGAATTTAAAAATGTGGTTTCTTGAAGAGCCAAATGAAGTTGAAAACAAAGCTCCCACAACTGAATTGATACTCAAAGGAGAGATGATGAGAGTGAACATTGACTCTATTTTTATAGTTCTTGAGGCTGGAATTGGTCCTAGAACAGTGCCTATGCTGTTGGCCAAGTCACGTTTTTCAGGGGAGGGCAAAAACTGGAGTTCTTTGATAAATCTCTACTGTCAGCTTGAACTAGAAGTAAGTATATGCAGTATTTTTCCAGATTTTATAACAAATAATGCTACACATGGAGTATTTTTGGTATCTCAAATAAATATTTTAACTAGATTTATTGTAAATATGAATGTTGGCTCACAGTACTTTTGGAAGCAAGCATACAAATTTATGCCCTTGATATAGTTGTTTTTATGTGTAGATTATTGTAATATAAACTTAACTTGGGTATTTCAGTTGATTTTATCAACTTAAAGGTGATGTATTAATAAACAGTGTTGATTAAATTCAATATTCTTATTTTTAAGAACTGAATATCTTTTTTCCTTTAAAAGGATAATAGACTATTTATGAATCTCTTCTAAAAGAGTAGTAGAAAGAATTAGAAGGATATGCCTCATACTTTTATACAGTGCGTTATCTTTAGGGAGTATCTACAAAGATCTTTCACATTTTTGTGAGAGTACTTTATTTATAAGGGAGATACTTGTTTTGAACCAACATACATTTTGCTTCAGAATTTATCTACATAGGATTATCTCCAAAGATATTTTGGTTTAAGTTATGAGTTTATGTCTAGTGAAAACTAATTGGATATTCTACTAATTTGTATTAATAAATATGAAAATTTATGAGCTGATAAATTATTTGTGTGTTGATACAAAAACATACACTAATAGAGGTAGAACTAACTAGATATCAAATTTTGAAATTCTGGCTAGATTCTGTATATTTTGTGGAGGGTATGATCTAGGATGTCCAAGAGATTCTGAGAGTTCAAATAAATAAGCGCTTATTGAATTATAATTCATCATCAAGAGATTTCAAAAAATCAGTGGAGGTAGGCAGATCTGTTTAAAAATATCAATAATACATGATAAATGGATGCAGTTTTTGATACTTAGCCCAGTCTGGAAGTCAAGGAAAGATGCTTAAAAGAGAGTTTTGTCTGGATTAAATTGTGAAGACTAGACTATGAAGTTAGCCAGGTGAGGAAAGTGCTGAGGGAGTGTGTATAAGAAACTTAAGGAAAGGCACAGAGAACAGTTTTCATATAAAGAAATAGCAGAGCCAAAGGGAATAGTGGTGGGAAACAGCATGGAAGATCATTTTAGAAAGTTTAAGAATGTTTTATTTCAAAATTTAATTCTCTTTCTAGGTGCATTATTACAATGAAATGTTTGGTGTATGGGAGCCTTTGCTTGAACCCTTAGAAATTGATCAGACTGAGGATTTTAGACCATGGAATCTTGGAATCAAGGTATATTTGAAGTCTGAAAATTGTTTTTCAAAAGCAATGTCCATACCACACAAAACAGTTTAATTTTAGTAACAACAGAGTTCAAGTTTTCTCATTATGAGTCTTGCCACATACTTCCCTGTTTGGCCTGTGAATGTAATTTTTTCAGAACCAAGACTAGTGCCTCCTGTGCTAATACAAATAATTGTGTAACATTTATTGTGTTGTAGACACTGTTCTAAATAATGTATTTTTACTTGAACCCTTACAGCACCCCTTTGACGTTGGCGTTTTAAACTCCATTTTAACATGTGAAGGAACTGAGACTAGAGAGCTTTAGAGCCTTCCCTAAAGTAATACCTTCAAAGTGGAAGAGGTTGCATGCAGTTCTGGCTGCAGAGTCCCCGCTCAGAACCACTGTGTTAGATGCCTCTAGCATCTTCGTGTAGGTTGTTGTCTACCCTGAGTTTCCTTTGTCCTTAGAAGGGTGTATATATAGAAGAAAGTATATTATTACTTGTTTCTCAGATATATTGTAAATTTATGTAATCCTAAGTATCAGGACCTTTAGATGGATGAAATTGTGCTTCAGAGCAGGAAACTGAAGAATTGCTAACATGTCTCCTCTCTAAATAATGATGCAGTCACCTGCAGACAAATTTTCAGTGGTTGAAAGCCAGTTAATATAACAACAAAGGTTACTAGCTTGTCCAACCTTTTGTATTAGATTACTTCATTTATTTTGTACATATTTCAGATAAAGGATTGGATAAAGGAACTTCTTTGATGTTTTTTAGGTCAGAGTATACCTGGGCAGTGGATCTGTGAATCCTAAAAAGTGGTAGATGGTATTGAGTCTTAGGAGTCGTAGCTTCTAATGGCACTGTTCTGCATCTGTTTTGGACTTTTTTAAGTCCCTGGATTTCTAGTCTTTATTTACCCATAGCCAGTAAACCTAACTAATAAACCAAATGATTTTTCTTGTTCTGAATGTCCATGAGCTATGAAGTATGTGCTTGTAATTTTCATTCAGATGCCACAAGCACTTAGTGATTTTAGGGTTTATTTTTCCTTTTGAATTGTGCTTGCCATTTTAGTATCACTGAGGATGAGAAGTATTTTTCCTCTAATATTGCCCCTGTCCTGTGTGACCTTAGTTGGCAGATATCCAAACAATTCCAGTAAGGCAGTGGAACTGATAAAACTTATTGTTGTCTCTCATGTTATTATTGGGTTTTGTCTAGTTTGTTTTTTCTTTGCAAAATGAGTAATGTGTTCCTAGGAACAAATTTTCCTTATATTTCTATAATTTATGTGTCATTTTAGATGAAAAAGAAAGCAAAAAAGGCCATTGTTGAGTCAGATACTGAAGAAGAAAATTACAAAGTGCCAGAATATAAAACTGTTATCAGTTTCCATTCAAAAGACCAACTAAACATTACATTATCCAAATGTGGCCTTGTAATGTTAAATAATTTAGTCAAGGTAAGAAAAGAAATTTGAAACCTTAAGTGTTGGTATACTAGTCTGAGCTAACCTTTTTTTTTTTCATTGAATAAAAAGTTTTTTATTAGTTATTTGTCATACGTCTGTTAGTGTCCTGCTTGTCATTTAGTTTTCATTTTATTTACAATAACTCTTCCTTATTAGGCATTTACAGAAGCTGCCACTGGAGCTTCAACTGTCTTCATACGGGATCTAGCGCCATTTATGATTTTAAATTCTCTTGGACTTACTGTCTCTGTTTCACCAAGTGATTCTTTTAGTGTACTTAACGTTCCATTGGCAAAATCATATGTATTGAAAAATGAGGAGAGTTTAAGTATGGACTATGTGGGAACCAAAGACAATGATCATTTCAATGCAATGACCAGCCTAAGCAGTAAACTCTTCTTCATTCTTCTCAGTAAGTGTTAAATTATTTTCCTGGGGCTTTAATTTCTTTTAAGTTACATTTTTTACATCGCATTTTACTCATATGTAGTATCTTACAGGTTTTTAAATCTCCTTCCAAATAGGTCAGGAATTTTGCTTTTTCTTTTGCCCGGCTTTGGTTGCTTGTTGTCACTGTATTTTTGTATTCCAAATTGTGACTTTATCTTCTGTGTTATCTAGGGCATGGTAATTCACTATTTCATATTTTTGGGAGGAAAAAGATTTGATCCTGTCCTTACTCAGTTTTTTGTTGTTTCAACCACATTTTTTATAATTCAGAATATTCCACTAGTTTTACAGCTGAGTGAATCCAAAATAAAGTTTGAAGTCATGAAAATGGCACACTATAATCGTTTTTGGGTTTGTAAATGGTTTTTATTTTCTGCCTGTTGAGGTGGAAGGTTGTTCTTTTGTCCTTTGTGATTCTCAGAAGTGTTTCGTTTTCATGAGAAACAAAAGTAAAAAATTCTTAATTGTCATAATATTTATTCATTGTGAAGTTACCTGGTCCTAAAGTCTCACCCACACCCCTTTCTGATACTCTGACATTTAAATAATTAGGGAGAAGGGAGGGAATTTGAAAGATTAATAAATGAAGGGGAGGGATACTAAGACTGATACCTAGTGCTTTCTCCTGGTCAGGAAATGTTGCTTAACAATGGCCTTGTCAGTGAATTGCTCTCGTCAATTTTACCTCACTTGTTTGAACTAACATTTTTATGGAGTTGGGGACGTATATGTAAATAAGTAATTCACATCCCAAATAAAATGCAGTATGTATATTAAATAAATGTATAAAATATTGTTTAATCGGGTCTTAGATACCATAAAGTATCATGGGTTGTTGGAATAATGAAAAACTGAAATTTTGCAGCTACTTCGGTAATTGCCAGTGACTGCCTACAGGTATTAGGCTCTGGTTATTATGACAGCAAACCAAAGATCAGTGTTTGTATATTTTATAATAATTTCTCTTGTCAGTTTGAAAACATACTATTCACTTAGGTTAAACTACTGAATGAACTTTTTTTTTCAATTAAAAAATTTTTTTGTTAAGTGCTTTGAAGGTTTTCGATGACTGCTGTGGGAATGTATTGTGGCTTCTTAATATATCCCTTTATATAGATTATACAAAGAAATAGCCCTTTTTTTATAGTCTTATATCTAAAAACTTTAGTGACTGTTATTTATGAGTTAAAGAAATTATCTGATGTATCTGGCATTTAACATCTAGTTAAGATTAATATATGATTAATAATAAAAACTTTCCAACATATATATTCCATTTAGCACCTGCTAACCACTCTACTGCTGATAAAATCCCTTTAACAAAAGTGGGACGACGACTGTACACTGTAAGACACAGAGCGTCTGGGGTTGAAAGATCGATTGTTTGTCAAGTTGATGGAGTGGAAGGAAGTAAGAAGATAACAATTCGCTCCCCAGTGCAGGTACAAAATGATCCTTTTTTTGTGTGTGGGGGGTCATATTATGCATATTTGTGTGTTAATAAAAAAAGAAAGCTAATTACTACCAAAAGAATATAAACTGTAATAAAAATACAATTAATATAAAAAAGAATTATTATTACCAGTAATGCACTACTTTAGTATGAATAGTGGTTCAATATTTCTTGTAACTTTCTATAGGACTCTTCCTATAAACTCTTTTTGGACTATTATTCTAAAACACCATCAATATTTTGTTTTTAGGTCTTTGTGGTATAGGGTATATCCTTTGATTTTAATTAGAAAATATGAGGAAAAATATTTATGTCTTTATTGAGGTCAAACTGATGTACAATAAACTGCATATATTTAAAGTTGATGAGCTTGGACACAAAAACAGACCTGTGAAACCTTCATCCCAGTGAACATGCTAAACATATTTATCACCCCAGAAAGTTTCCTCTCTTCCTACTCCATTCTTAGACAGCCACTGATATGTTCTTATCGTATACTAGTTACACAATATAGAATTTTAGGTAAATGGAGTGGAATACAAAAAGGAGTATGGCTCCTTTCAGCATAATTTTGCATGTATCAACTTCTGTGTATTAATATTACATGTAGTTACATGTTGTTGTTGATTAGTAATCTATTAAATGGATATTCCAAATACTGTTTTGAATGAATCTTTGTATATGGTACGAAGTAAGGGTTAAGGTTTATGTTTTTCCGTATGGCTATTCATTTGTTCCAGCCAAGATTATCCTTTTCCTGTTAAATTGCCTTGACACTTTTGTCCTTAAAAAAAAAAAAAGGTGATCAATATCTTTACGGATTTTGTTTCATAACTCTCTTTTCTGTCATTGATCTCTTTATCTTTATGCCAGTACCACATTGTCTCATTACTATTTTATCCTGAGTCTTGAAATCGTTGTCCTGCCTATTCATTTTCAAAGTTGTTTTGGCTATTCCGAGTCCATTCTATTTCCATTTAAATTTTAGACTTAGATTTTCAGTGTTTCTTACAAAACAATGATTAAATTGTCATTTTTACATATTTCTGATTTTTCATTGCTAGTAGAAGTATAGCTGATTTTTATATTAACCTGTATTGTGCAACTTTACTAGATGCACTTACTTGTTCTAGTAGCTTTTTCGTAGATACAGTTTTGATATCTGCAGATAAAGATTTTTTACTTTTTCCTTTCAAATCTGGATGTGTATTTTATTTTACCTTTACTTGACTGTTGCACTGGCTAGAACCTCCAATACAATATGAATAGATGTTCTGAAAGCAGATGTTTTTGCCTTGTTCTCAATCTTAGCAGTAATGTATTCACTTTTTCATCATTAAGTATGTTTTGACTTGTAGTTATTTTGTAGATGATCTTTCTTAGCTTGAAAATGCTCCCTTCTTTTTCTAGGTTACTGAGTTTTTATCAGAAATGGATGTTGGATTTTGTCAAATGGTTTTCTGTTTATTGAAAGGATTTTTTAAAAAAATAATTTATTAATGTGGTGAATTACATTGATTTTTAATTGCTGTATTCAGTGACAATTGATTTTTATTTTTAATTTTTTTAAAGTTTTAAAATTCCAGTATAATTAAGTACAGTGTTATTCAGGTGTACAATATAGTGATTCAGCAGTTCTGTACATTACTCATTGCTCATCATGGTATGTGTACTCTTAATATCCTTCATGTATTTCATTCATCCTACCACACACCTCCCATTTGTTTTTTTTTTTTAAGATTTTATTCATTTATTTGACAGAGAGAGACAGCGAGAGAGGAAACACAAGCAGGGGGAGTGGGAGAGGGAGAAGCAGGCTTCCCAAGGAGCAGGGAGCCCGATGCGGGGCTCGATCCCAGGACCCTGGGATCACAACCTGAGCTGAAGGCAGACGCTTAACGACTGAGCCACCCAGGCGCCCCATACACCTCCCATTTGTTAGCCATTAGTTTGTTCTCTATACTTGAGTCTCTTTTTTTTTTGTCTTTTTTTCTCTGTTTTGTTTCTTAAATCCACGTAAGAGTGAATCATATGGTATTTGTCTTTCTCTGGCTTATTTCACTTAGCATTATATTCTGTAGATCCATCCATGTCATTGCAAATGGCAAGATTTCATTCTTTTTTATGGATAATATTACATTGTTTATATATACCACATCTTCTTTGTCCATTCATCTATTGGTGGACATTTGGGTTGCTTCCATAATTTGGCTATTGTAAATAATGCTGCAATAAACATTAGTGTTTTCATATTCTTTGGGTAAATACCCAGTAGTGCATTTACTGGATCATACAGTAATTCTGCTTTTAATTTTTTGAGGAACCTCTGCACTGTTTTCTGCAGTGGCTGCACCAGTTTGCATTCCCATAAATAGTGCATGAAGGTATCTTTTTTTCCACATCCTCACCAGCATTTGTTGTTTTCTGTGTTTCTGATTTTAGCCATTCTGACAGGTGTCAGGCAGTATCTCAATGGTTTTGATTTGCATTTCCCTGATGATTAGTGATATTGAGCATCTTTTCATGTGTCTGTTGGTCATCTGTATGTCCTTTTCGTAATTTGTTCATCTCTTCAGCCTACTTTTTCATTGGATTATTTGTTTTTTTTTTCTGGTGTTAAAATGTATAAGTTCTTTGTATATTTTAGATACTAACCCCTTACTGGATATGTCATTTGCAAATATCTTCTCCCATTCAGTAGGTTTTTTTAGTTCTGTACTATTTCCTTTGCCATAGAGAAGCTTTTTTACTTGCCGTAGTCTCACTAGTTTTGCTTTTGTTTCCCTTGCCTTAGGAAACATATCTTGAAAATTGTTGCTACTGCCAGTGTCAGAGAAATAACTGCCTGTGCCCTTTTCTAGGATTTTTATGGTTTCAGGTCTCAACATTTAGGTACTTAATCCCTTTTGAGTTTATTTTTGTGTATGATGTAAGAAAGTGGTCCACTTCCATTTTTTTCAAGTAGCTATTCATTTTTCCCAACACCATTTGTTGAAGAGATTGTCTTTTCCCCATTGCATATTCTTGCCTCCTTTGTCATAGATTAATTGTGGGTTTATTTCTGCGCTTTCTGTTCTGTTCCATTGATCTATGTGTCTGTTTTTGTGCCAGTACCATACTGTTATGGATTCTCTGGCTTTGGTAGCTTTTGAAATATGGGATTGTGATAGCTCCAGTTTTGTTCTTTGTCAAGATTGCTTTGGCTATTCGGGATCTTTTTTGTTTCCATATTAATTTTAGGATTATTTGTTCTAGTTCTATGAAAAATACTGTTGCTATTTTGATACAGATTGCATTAGATCTGTAGATTGCTTTAGGTGGTATCAACATTTAACAATATTTGGTCTCCCAATTCATGAGCATGGAGTATCTTTCCATTTGTGTCAGCTTCAATTTCTTTTGTCAGTGTTTTATAGTTTTCAGAATACAGGCATTTTATCTCCTTGGTTAAGTTTATTCCTAGGCGTTTTGCTATTTTTAGTGCAATTATAAATGGAATTGTTTTCTTAATTTCTCTTTCTCCTACTTCATTATTTTGTATACAAATGCAACAGATGTCTGTATATTAATTTTGTATCCTGTGATCTTGCTGAATTCATTTATCAATTCTAGTAGTTTTTTGATGGAGTCTTTAGGGTTTTTTATATATAGTATCATGTCATCCACAAATAGTGGAAGTTTTACTTCTTCCTTAGATTTGTATGCCTGGTATTTCTTTTTCTTGTCTGATTGCTGTGGCTGGAACTTCCAGTACTATGCTGAATAAAAGTAGTGAGTATGGACATCCTTGTCCTGTGCCTGATGTTGGGGGAAAGCTTTAGTTTTTCACTACTGAGATAATGTTAGCTGTGGGTTTCTCATTTATGGCCTTTATTACAATGGTGTATGTTCTCTCTAAACCTATTTTGCTGAGGGTTTTTATTAGGAAGCGATGTTGTACTTCGTCAAATGCTTTTTCTGCATATATTGAAATGATCATATGGTTTTTATCCTTTCTCTTGGTGATGTGGTATATCTCTTTGATTGATTTGTGAATATTAAACCACCTTTGCATCACAGGAATGAATCCCACTTGATCATGGTGATTAATTTTGTGTGATTCATTGCTGGATTCAGTTTGCTAATATTTTGTTGAGGACTTTTGCATCTATGTTCTTCAGAGATATTGGCCTATAATTCTCTTTTTTCTAGTGTCTTCATCTGGTTTTGGTATCAGGGTAATGCTGGCCTAATAGAATGAATTTGGAAGCTTACCTTCCTCTTTTATTTTTTGAAATAGTTCAAGAAGAATTGGTATTAACTCTTCTTTAAATGTTTGGTAGAATTTACCTGTGAAGCTGTCTGATCCTGGACTTGTGTTTGTTAGGATGTTTTTAATTACTGGTTCAGTTTCATTGATGGTAATCAACCTGTTCAATGTTTCGATTTCTTCCTGCTTCAGTTTTGATAGGTTATGTTTCCAGGAATGTGTGCACTTTTTCTAGGTTGTCCGGTTTGTTGACATATAATGTTTCATAATATTCTCTTGTAATCTTTTGTATTTCTGAAGTGTCGGTCATTATTTCTCCTCTTTCATTTCAGATTTTGTTCATATGGGAGTCCTCTATCTCTCTCCTTTGATAAGTCTGGCTAATGGTTGATCAATTTTGTTGGTATTTTCAAAGAGCCAGCTTTTGATTTCATTGATCTATTTTTTTTAAATTTCCGTTTTGTTTATTTCTTCTCTTAATCTTTATTCTTTCCTTTCTTCACTGGTTTTGATTTTTGTTTGTCCATTTTCTAGCATTTTTAGATTAAGTTTAGTTTTGTTTTTTTGTTTTTTTAAAGCATTTTTTTAAGATTTTATTTATTTATTAGAGAGCACACAAGCAAGGGGAGGGGCAGAGGGAGAGGGAGAACAGACTCCCCACTAAGCAGGGAGAGCGTGATGTGGGACTTGATCCCAGGACTCTGGGATTGTGACCTGAGCCAAAGGCAGACCCTTAACCAACTGAGCCACCACCCAGGTGCCCAGGTTATGTTTTTTATTTGAGATTTTTCTTGCTTCTTGAGGTAGGCCTGTATTGCTATAAACTTCCCTCTTAGAACAGCTTTTGCTGCATCCCAAAGATTTTGGACCCTTGTGTTTTCATTTTCACTTGTCTCCATGTAGTTTTTTATTTCTTCTTTGATTTCTTGGTTGACCAATTCATAGTTTATAGTAGCATGTCATTTAACCTCCATGTATTGGTGTTCTTTCCAGATTTTTTTCTTGTGCTTGATCAGTTTCGTGTTACTGTGGTCAGAAAAGATGCATGGTATGACTTCAGTATTTGGATTTATTGAGACTTGTTTTGTGGCAATATGTGACCTATTCTGGAGAATGTTTCATGTGCACTTGAAAAGAATGTGTATTCTGCTGTTCTGTGATGGTATGTTCTGAATATATATTAGATCTATCTGTGTGTGTGTGTGTCTTTCAAAGCTACTGTTTCTTGTTGATTTTCTGTTTGGATGATATATCCATTGATGGAAGTGGGGTGTTAAGCTCCCCAAGTATTATTGTATTACTATCAATTACTTACTTTATATTTCTTAATAGCTGCTTATGTATTTGGGTGCTCCCATGTTGGGTGCATAACTATTTACAATTGTTAAATCTTATTGTTGACTTTTTCCCTTTATGATTTGTAGTGTCCTTCTTTGTCCCTTGTTACAGTCTTTGTTTTAAAGTCTATTTGTCTGACACAAATGTTGCTACCCTGGCTTTCTTTTCACTTCCATTTGCATGGTAAATGCTTTTCCATCCTTTCATTTTCATTCTGCATATGTCTTTAGGTCTGAAATGCTTCTGTTGTAGGCAGAATATGGATGGTTCTTGCTTTTTTATCCATTTTGTTGCCACATGTCTTTTGATTGGAGCATTTAGTCCACTTACATGCAAAGTAATAAATAGATACATATTTATCACCATTTTGTGACTTGTTTTATGGTTGTTTTGTAGTTCTTTTATATTCCTTTCTTTTGCTCTTTTCTCTCACGGTTTGCTGGCTTTCTTTAATGATATACTTGGAATCCTTTCTCTTTATTTTTTGCCTACCTATTACAAGTGTTTGATCTGTGGCTACCATTAGGTTTATATATAACATTTTATGCATATAACAGTCTATATTAGGTTGATGGTCTCAAGTTTGAACCCATTTTTTAACCTTTTTTAAAAGCACTAAATGTTTACTCCTCTCCTCCCCACATTTTAAGTATGTGGTGTCATACTTTATATTTTACATTGTGAATCACTTGACTTATTTTTATAGATATACTTAATTTTACTGTTTTTTGTGCTTCTCTTACTCTTCCTTGCGGTCTTTCCTTTGCACTGAAAGAGTCCCCTTTAACATTTCTTATAAGGCTGGGTTACTGATGATGAATTAATTTAATTTTGTTTGGGAAATTCTCTCTCCTTCTATTCTGAGTGATAGTCTTGCTGGATAGAGTATTCTTAGTTCCAGGTTTTTTTTCTTTCAGCATTTTGAATATATCATGCCACTCTCTGTGGCCTGCAAAGTGTCTGCTGAAAAAATCAGCTGATAGCTTTATTGGATTTCCCTTGTATGTAACTGTTTTCTCTTGCTGCTTTTAAGATTTTCTCCTTATCACTATTTTTCCCATTTAAATTACTGTGTGTCTTGGTGTGGACCTCCTTGAGTTGATTTTGTTGGGGGCTCTCTGTACCTTCTGGATCTGGATATCTGTTTCCTTCCCCAGATTCAGGAAGTTTTCAGCTATTATTTCTTAAAATAAATTTTTGCCCCTTTTTCTCTCTCTTTTCTTCTAGGATCCCTATAATGCATATGTTATTGTGCTTGACCATGTCAATGAGTTCCCTTAACCTATTCTCATTTTTCATTATTCTTTTTCTCTCTCCTGTTCAGCTTGATTGCTTTCCAGTGCTTTGTCCTCCAGATCATTGATCTGTTCATCTGCCTCCTGTGGTCTACTGTTTATTCCCTCTAGTGTATTTTTAATTTCAATTAGTTATTCATCTCTTTCTTTTTAATGTTTTCTGTCAGTGTTTTTAGGGTCTAACTGAGACCTTCCTCTCTTTCTTCAAGTCCAGTGAGTATCTTTATGACCATTACTTTAAATTCTCTATCAGGCATATTATCTCCATTTTATTTAGCTCTCTTTCCATGATTTTCAAGTTCTTTCATATGACCTATTCCTCTCTCTGCTCATTTTGTCTGATCCTCTGTGTCTGTTTCTGTGTGTTAGAAAAGTCCGCTATGTCTCCTGATCTTGAAAGTAGTGGCCTTAGGAAGAAGTCCTGTCATGTCCTGAGTGTAATATCCCGTTACCCAGAATGTGGCACTTCAGGGGTGTGTTCTATGTGTGTTATGTGTGCCCTGCTGTTGTGGCTGAGCTGCATTTGCCTTCAGTTCAGTTGTCTACAATGACTCTTTGCCTTTTGGGGGTAGGGTTTAGTTCCTGTGTTGTTAGTGGGCCACTCTGGGGCCACCTTGAAGTTGAGTTTGTTCAGACCAGGCTTTTGCCAGAGGTGTAGTCGCACCAAACTGTAGGGTACTCTCCCTGTTTTGTCCCCCAGGAAGCTTTTGTTGGTGGGCAGGACCCGCATTCAGATTAGTTGTCTTCCCCCAGTCCACTGCTGAGGCTGTAGTTGAACTGGTGTGTGTGGTTATTTCCCCTCTCCGGGTCACACCAGTCACTTTGAAGTGATGCTGGCTCCTGTAGGGTCTCCTTGCACACTGCCAGGTTAGTGACACCATTTTGAATGGACTCCTGTTGCTGGAGACCATGGAAGTGGGTGCATGATGATAAGGTTTGCTCAGAGCTGCTGTGGGAGGAGACCTGAGCTGCTCTGGAGAACTCCTGTTGAGAACGGGTTGGTCATCAGTCTTTACTGAGCCTTTGATAGTTTACTCATGTGCATATTGCAGTCAGTACCAATATGAAATTTTGACAACAGGGGACGCTGTTAAATCTGCAACTCTTGCGTCTCCATGTACCCCGCTCAGTGTGCTGTGAGTTTGAGAAACACTGGCTTCCCCAAATTCTCATATCTGTCTCTTTGACTCCAGCAGACTGGCTCTGTTTGACTTCTCTTTTTCACCTACACAGAAATCTAGAAACTTGAGGCAGCAAGCTGGGGCAGTCTGAGGACTTAACCCTTGTGGTTTCTTTTTACTGTTTTTTCTTTCCTGTGCTGCATGCTGCCCAATTTCTGAATACCATTGTTTAATATGGGTTCTTTTTCCTCTGTGTTTTAGTTCTCTATGTTGGGAAGGTTTATCTGGTCTCTATTATTCCATCATGGCTAAAAGCAGAAATTCTTCCCTTTCATTTTTGATCTGTAGTTAACTGTTTTAAAAGATGACTGTTGGGCTACTTTCTCTATTGTTGATTTTTTTTTTTTATATTTTAAATAGTTATACATTAATTTTAAATTTCTTATAGGTACTATTTATAGAAACTTAAATGTATTCCTATTGCTTCAAATAGAGCAAACAGTTTATCTAGAGATAGAGTGTAGTTAGGATTATCCATTTATCAGTTCTTAGTTCTCAGCATGTTTTCCATTTTGGTATGATTTTTTAAAAATAAGATTTTACTAAGAGAAAGATTATAATATGAAAGTGGTTTTATTAACCAATTTGTTATTATCCATCTCAAAGGTAAATATAAGTGTTTGGAAGTTTATCTAATATATATTAATCAAAATGATGTTACCGTTTACATCATTTTTGTATGCTGCTCATGGATGGATGAGATATTCTCCAAAGTGCATGTAGAGTATCTCATCCCATGAGCAGCATACAACAGTGAAGTAAAGAGGCACTCATTTCCCAGCCTGTGACCTTTTTTCAAAACACTTTTGTCATACAGACATTTCAAATTTTGATATATTTTTTCCCATGAATTCTTCTATTTTTATCTGAAGAAGTTAATACTTATATCAAGGTCAAGAACATATTATCTTCCATCTTGGATTTTTAAAGTTTTTGTTTTTGACACACCTTTTCTATAAAACTAGTGACCTTTGTATTTTTTAGGATAAAAGTGTGTTTGTTTCTTGTCTAACTTATATAAGCAAGATAAATATTGCCTGCTAGTTTCTTTGTTGGGATATTTTGATGAGATTTTTTAAAAATGTCTTTAGATTCTTAGATTAATGTGCTAAATATGATTTGTTTTTCTTTCTCAGATTAAAAATCATTTTTCAATCCCACTTTGTGTTTATGAAGGGAACACTTTATTGGGAACGGCTTCACCTGGAAGTGAATTCAACATACCATTAACATCTTACCGGTGATTTTTTTTTTCTTTATCTTTTTATTTGCTCTAAAGTATCTTATAGAATTTTTAGTTTCTGATTTTATAGGGATATCTGTCTTTAAGTGATCAAAGTTTAATCACTTGTTAATAACTTGTCTAACTTAAGTTTCAAGGTGCTTAGAAGGTTTTTTTGTTTTTTGTTTTTTTTAAAGAAATATTTAATGTAATGTATACTATATAAATTACTTATGCTTTTACTAGTAAATATAGTTATTACATGCCTAAGTATAGCTGCCATAACTATAATCATTTATATGTGATTTTTTAGAAAATGTGGAATTGAGCATGATCGGTAGCTTCTAGATTTATATACAACTATTATGAAGGGATTTTTACTTTTCAGATATTTTACAGTGGAATTTTTTAAAAATCCCTTTGGAAAGCATAATATTTTATCTTTTTATCTACATATTTATTAATTGTTCAGTGATGGAATTATACTCTAAATTGTGACATATAGTACATCAATCTTAAATACTAAAAATTAGATTAAACTTGATCTAAAATCTTATATGTAAAATTCTTACAAAATGCTAGTGATGGGCTAGTCTTAAAATTATAGGATTAATTATCATAACAAACAAGTATTCTGGATATTTAATCAGGTATTGAAAATAATCTCTTTCAGCGATAGTGAACTCTGTTGGAAAATCTGTCTTCCTGAGAATAAGCACTGTAGTTTGTCTAAGTACCATTTCAGAACACACATTAGCCCTGGGCCCAGACGTGTGCTGCAGAAGGATGGAGGCAGAACTGCAAGCCGTGCTGAAATACCCTCTGCCTCTCTTCTGATCCATGCCCAGAGTTCCAGATTGGCTCCCTGATGCTTACAGAGCAGTCTAGCAGTTACAGGCACATATTTTTAGTTAGTAGACCTGCTAATTCTAAAGAGTACTTTATTACTTAGACCTTGTAACCCTAATGAGTGTTTGATTGCTTAGTTCAGATTTGCTGAGGGAAAGAATTCTGTTGTTGCAAGAACAACAACAATGTAGTTGTTCACAATATCTGGCCTTATTCTAGGAAGGATTTTTGGTGGGTTATAAGACTAGATTAAAGATAGCATGTAGGATGTGTTTAAAAACTTCTGTGAAGAAGTTTAAACTTATTTCATCCTTGAATGAGAAAAGTTAATGGCATTTTGCTTTATTTTTAATAAATTATTGCTGTATGTTTTGTGACTCTGTCCATAGAAGAGGCAACTTAAGAGTATTTTTACACTTTCTTGTTCAAGGCTAAGTATTAATTTGTCAAATGGAAATTAATTAATCTTAATTGGAATTATTAGTGATGAGCCAGCTTGTATTTCACATTAGATATGTTTCTAATCCAATTCTTAGATATAGGTATGCTTACATTTAAGACATGAGGTCTTACATTAAGAAATGGCTACCTTTCCCTGGAGAATTTAAATATATTGATCTTTAAATTTAATTCATTTAACAAATATTTGTCAGGTGTTCTGCTGTGTATAAGGCACTACTGTGGGATGCCAAGATGAATTGGGCATGGCTGGAACCTTTGAGAGATTGATACATTATGTAAATATAGAAGAAAGAAAACAGTGGGGTTGTAGGGAGAGGGAGTTACAGAAGAGGTAGAGTTGCAGAAAACCAAAGAAAACAAAGCAGGTATTAATGATTGACTCCTGGGCGAGACACATGAATTAAAGGTCAAACATAATAATGTGCGGATTAGCACGGAAGGGCAATCTTAAGTGGAAGGAATTGCATGAACAAAGGTAAGGAGACCTGAAAGCACAGGGTTTGTATGTGTCTATAAAGAATAGTTGCAGGATGATCAGAGTGTAGTGTGCATCTTGTAACAGAACATTTGAAACATAGTTTAAGTTCACATTAAGGTACTTGCTCTCTCATTTTCTTGCCCCCATTTATGTTAATTTTACCTTTATCTTGAATATCATCTTTTTCTTCTTTCTTCTCACAGAACATTTGGTATCCTTCTGTTTCAAGATCTTTCATTCTAGAAGCTCTTCTCATTCAGAACCTCTTGCCATTGATACCTTTCTCTCACGTTTTCTTCCTATTCATTTCTTAAACTTTAACCTCGCATATTTCTCTAATTCAGGTGTTCTCTTCAGAATAAAGCTTTTTGGCAAAATTGTCACCTCTACAAAAAGCTCTGCAGCCATCTAGAAAGATTTAACCACACTCTCTTGCCCTCAGTCTGCCGTGTACATGTTTTTTTGTACCTATCACAATGCACTAATTCTCTTTTAACATTACATCCCCACCTGATTGGGATCTGTAATACAGAGTAAAGAAAGACTTACTCATTTGTTCATTTCCAGTTTTACCTTCTCGTTGGTAAATAATGGGTCCAATAAAGGTTTTGATAATCTGGATGAGGTTATTGGCATTAGTTTAATTTGGGGAAAATTAAGTTTTTAAGTATTAGAAGAATGGAAAAGAGAATGAAAATTACAGAGAGAATGTAAAAATAGATTAAATCTGATAACTGATTTGACAGATGATTAGATTTATGTATATGTCAAGGGAGATGGAAAAGTCAAATACTCTTTCATAGTCCAGAGTGCTGGTAGTTGGAAGTTCCTGAAAAGGGACACACAGAGAAACGCGTATGGGCTGTTGAGAGTTCAATCTAGCAAATTTAAGTCACTGTCAGACATCATTATAGAAGTGTGTAGTGGATATTTAAAATTTTAGGACTAGGGCTTAGGACAAAATCTGGGCTGAAGATAATATGGACAGTTGTTCATTTGTAAGGGATAGTGTCACAATCATAGATGATTGGTTTTACAAGTATAAAAATATTTAAGTGTTTAGATTTGGACAGGTTAGGTTGAAAAATGATTAAATCTAAAATATAATTGAAATATCAACAGAGAGTGTGATATTTAAATAATAAGTATTAATCATACATGATTTTATCACTATCTTGCAACCACCTCTGCAACTGTGCCCAATTGTTTCAGCAGTTAAATATCTATTGAAAGCTTTTGTTTAACATTGAAAGGCTGGTGATGATTTTTTTAAATGGAAATGTGTTTTTAGTTTATGAATTCAGTCATGACATGTACTTCCTATAAGGACCACATATTCAGGGAAGCCAACATTTTTAAGTTAAATGGGCAAATCAACAGATATTTGTATATGTTTGCTTTGCATATATGATCTATAAAATTATATATTTTCTGTAGGAAACCAGTTATTATCTTGTAAACTTTTAAGATAGTAAGTTTGTAAGAAAAATATTCTCCTTTTAAGAGCCAAATAACTTGATTAGTTCCAGAAAGTTAAGGTATGACAGTATCTGTTTACCAATCTATCTTCTCTATCTCTAAGAAGAATGTGAAATTATAAAAAATTTATTACAAGAGCAGGGAGTGATGTAATTTCATTGTTCCAAAGTAGTAATCACCTAATTAATGTTTTCTTTTAAAGCATTTTAAAGCATATTGTTTCATCCTTTACGCAGATCACCCCTTTCTCTGAAGCCAGAAGATGAGGACTATCAAGCGTGTGAAAGAATTGACTTTGAAGAAATTATAAAAAATGATGGCACTTTTCTAAAGAAGAAATGTAAATCTAAAAACACTGCTAAGAAACCATTTAACATTCATGTTGTCCCGGAAAAAGATAATTTGTCTTCTCTGTCAGTGTATTCAGAAGATTGTTGGGACTTACCATACATAATGCATTTGTGGCCACCTATCCTGCTCCGAAATCTTCTTCCTTATAAAATTGCTTATTATATAGAGGTATTATAGAATTTTTTAAATGCCTTCCTGTCTTCGATTTTGTAGCTTTGGTTATTTAAAATAACAAGCAATGAAACCATGTTTTAATGTTCTCATAAAAATGATAGTACTGGTGAATAGGTGGTCCAGATGTTTTTCACAGGGGAAAAAAAAATGTTTCCATCGTTATAAAAAAAAAAAAGGGTTTTTTAAAAATATTTTTTTTCACTGATTTACCATAGAAATCTGGCTACTAAATGGAATATAAATTACATGCACAAAGGGAGTATGCCATTTTTTAAATCATTTATGAAAATGCCATATATTTCTATGGGAAAATTTAGAAAATAGAGCTAATAAAAATTGTCTATAATTGTGTCACCTGAAAGTTTCATGTTCAGATGAAGATAGCATCTCAGGTTTAGAATACAGGCATACCTCACTTCATCACACTTCTCAGAGAAACTCTGTGTTTTACAAATTTAAGATTTGTGGCAACCCTGTATCAAGCGCTTAAGTCTGCCAGCACCGTTTTTCGCTCAGTTCGTGTTTTTGTATCATATTTTGGTAATTCTCACAATATTTCAAACATTTCATTCTTAATTGTTATGATCTGTGATCAGTGATTATGACTTGCTAAAAGCTCAGATGATGGTTAACATTATTAGCAATAAAGTATTAAGGTGTATACACTGGTTTCTAGACATAATGCTATTGCATACTTGACTACAGTGTAGTGTAAATGTGACTTTTATATGCATTGGGAAACCAAGAAATTTATTTGACTTGCTTTATTGCGATATTTGGTTTATCGCTATGGTCTGAGACTGAACCCTCAGTATCTCTGAGGTATGCCTGTATATATTTTTAAAAAATCTTTTCTGTGCATTTACATCTCATTTATTATATATTTAAAAGATAGACACTAACTTTTGAAACATGTATGAGAATTAGTCTTAATATTCAAATACTAGATGTAAATGGAAAAAACACCCTACATTATATTATTCTCATGCTAGTTTTCGAAAAAGGATTTTAATTCCCTATAAAGATGTTTTTTCTTTTAAGTACTCTTTGGTTTAACAGATTACATCTCCTTCCTTACTTTTGTTATAACAGGAATAAGTAAATGTTCCATTTGCCATGCTTATCAAATATAAGAGTAGTTCCTTATTGTAGCCTATTAATAGTTTTTATTGTCTGTTAATAATAGGGATTTACTATGTGTTCATACTGGTCTGATAAATTGGGGGGGCAGTTAACATATCTGTGGTTTAAGGTTATCAATTTTCCATATGGTTGGCAGATACCATAGTGGTTAACAATTTGTACTTTGCTATCAGATTTGAGATTGAATCCTAGCTCTATCATCTATTAGCTTTATGTTTTTAAGCAGTTTTTATTATCTTTTTAAATCATTTATCCTAGTCTATAAAATAGGAATAGTAATAAAACTTGCATGATTGGGATATGGGGAAAATCAAATTAGATAATACATGTAAAGGACTTCGCATAGTGCCTCCCAGGCACATGGTTGCCAATTATTTCCTCTCCCACATCACCACCAACCACTACTATTCTTACTTTGTGAAATATTAATTAACATGTCAAGCATCAATAATTTATATAATTCTTGCTTTAAGTAATTTAAAATCTTGAGATTCCCGTATTCTAACAACAGGAAGGAATCAGGTTAGAGATGATGGAAAGACTGGTGATGTACTACCTATCTATGTCCCATTCTTATTGAACTTTTAATTTGATACTTTCAGAGATCACATTTTGTTGGCTAGTTTCCGTGGTATGGAGAGAGGATTGTAAGGGACAAAGAACAGTTAGGAGATTCTTAAAGTGAGAGGTCACAGTGACATGAACTAAGAAGGGTACAGTTTTGAGACATACAGAAGATGCAGTATAGACAGTGATTGAAAGTGGATGATGAGGGATTGTTAAAAAGCAAGAATGAGAATTAGTAGGGATTGCTTATTTTGGATTACTGTCATTTTTCATTTTGTAGTTTTCAAAACTAACCACTAATGGATAACATTTTTTTAATGTTTTACTAATTACAGTGTTTTATAATGTTGATTAGTTCCAGCATAGTTTTGCTTGTATTATTTAATTTTATCCTCCCAGCAGTCCTTTGAAGTAGATCATTTATACCATTTTATAAATACGATAATTCAAATCTCAATTTATAGAAGTTTACACATTTGGCAGAGTTAGAACTCAAATATAAGTCTTCTATCTTGTTCTGACAGAGGTGTTTCAAAAGCCTTATGTGTATGACATTTGGAATCATTATAAATAGAATTTTTTAGCATATTATTATGACACATTTAAAATTTTACTGTATTTTTTTTATTACAGGGGAATGAACATAAAGTTTATACTCTAAATGAAGGACATTCAGCCCACATTTGTACTGTGCATTTGGAAAAAGCCAGACTACATTTAAAATTACTTGACTATCTTAATCATGATTGGAAAAGTGAATATCATATAAAACCTAATCAGCAAGATATTAGTTTCATCAATTTTACCTGTGTTACAGAAATAGAAAAGACTGATTTAGATATTGCTATCCATGTGACTTATAATATTGGCCAGACAGTTGTGGCATTTCATAGTCCTTATTGGATGGTCAATAAAACCAGTCGAATGTTACAGTATAAAGCAGATGGAATTCATCGAAAGCATCCACCTAATTATAAAAAGCCAGTTCTGTTTTCTTTTCAACCAAAGCACTTTTTTAATAATAATAAGGTATGTAAGTTTTTTAAAACTTTCATTCTTCTTTAGCTACTTTTCACTCCTTTTAGTTTTTAGAGTTTTGAAGAATATTATGAAACAAGTAGAAATAACATTTAAATATTTGAGGTTAAAAAGATTAGAATTTAGTATGGGGAAAATGTTTAGTGCATTAATATAATATTTACACAAAACAAAAAAATTATCAATTGAGGTAGGAATTATTAAAGGTACCTAAATTGTAATGTATTTGGAATATTTTTTCCTAGGTTCAGCTTATGATAACTGATAGTGAATTGTCGGATCAGTTTTCAATTGATACTGTTGGTAGTCATGGAGCTGTTAAATGTAAAGGCCTGAAAATGGACTATCAAGTGAGTTCATTCTTTGCTCATGGAGAAACTTCTATTTTAAACTGTGTACTGACTACTTAATTTTTTATAAGGATATTGTGATAATGTAAGTTTTTGAAATGCTAATTTTTTTTCCCTTTAGGTTGGTGTCACTATAGACCTCAGCAGTTTTAACATTACCAGAATTGTGACATTTACTCCTTTTTATATGATCGAAAACAAAAGCAAATATCATATATCAGTGGCCGAACAGGGAAATGATAAATGGCTCTCTCTTGATTTGGAGCAGGTGGGTAGATGTATTTCAAAAAAGTACCTCTTTGGATTTTCATTTTTCCTTGAAGTTACATACCTGAAACCACTATGTAAGTTTTTAATTGCCCCCCCCATTTTATTTGTACCAGGCTCTAGATTTTAATTTTTAAAAACCAGCCCTTGTAATTTAGGAATGCATTGCTTGATAAGGGAAGTAGATATTTAACAACTACTAACCAAGCAGTGTAAATACAGCAGTAGAAGACTAGATGAGGTATAAATGCAGTAAAGAGTAGGAAATGATTTATTCTTTCTGCAAAGCTGTTAGGAATGCCTTTGTGGAAGAAATTAGGGCAGTAATTTTAAGAAGATGGAGTGACTTAGGAATGAAATTTTGATTCTACTCCATCTTTAGCTATTAGACCTTTGGGTAAGAGCTTTCCAAAGGACTGCCTGAGGTTGATGGAATATTTTACTTTTGAAGAAATTTTATTCTAAATATGTTAAGATTATAAGAGAAGTGTTTGCTGTTTTTGTTCACTGTTCCTTCTTGCTTTTAAACCATCCTGCTGGGATTATTATTCTTGACATTCTTTAGATTTTCCTTCAGAGCTCGTTTTGGAGGCAAAAGCCATCAGTTTCTGTTTATCCGTAAAAGTTTTTGTCATCTTTCCTTTATGATAATTTCTCTTATCTGTTCTGTTTTTTCCTCAACATGTGTAGATTTTACTCCACTATTTTCTGGTTACCACTTTAGTTGAAAATTCTCCTGTGATTCTGTCATTCCTTTAGAGGTCATTTTCCTCCTAATTGCCTTCATGATCTTTGTCTTTGATGTTCTGTAGTCATACTACTATTTGTCCACATGTGGGTTCTTTTTGTATATCCTTCTTGAGACGCTATACCCTGAGCTGTATAATTTGCAACTGTTGTCTCCTTAATATTGTCTCTCCTTCGTCCTTCCATTTGCTTCTTCTTGGCCTTTAATCAAGACACATTCTAGACCTCCATATTCTATCTTCCATGTCTCAACATTTTTTTTTTTCGTATTTTTCCATCTATCTAACTCTCTTTGCTGCATTCTGGATAAATTCTACATGTATATCTTTAGTAAATTTTCACTTTTACTCTGTCTAAATTGCTAGTTAAGCCTTTCATGAGTTTTTTATTTGAATATATTTCTAATTTTCAGAAGTTCCACCTTTTTTGAAGTCTGCCTGTTCATTCATTAATGAATATTTGTGTGTATTCCTTAGGTGCCTTGTGATACATCTGTTAAGAGAACCACAAGTCCCTGTGCTTCTGTAGTTTATGTTTCATTGGGGTAGAGGTTGTAGAAAATAATATCATAATCAATTAACAAAATATATATGTTTAAAGGTGAAAAGTCTAGTCAGGGAAATGCAAATAAGACAGATATGAATATGAAGAGTTCTAGCAAGCACAGGGTGGGCTATAATTTTATATAAGGTGGTCAAGGATAGGACTCATTGAGGTCATATTTGAGCAGACTTGTAGGAGATGTAGGAGGTAGCAGTTGCCAAAAGCTCAGCTGAGCTGCCATGTGTTAGAGTAGCTGATTAGGACAACAACTCAAAATGAAAGTAACAGTTAACCTTTAGTCACTTACTGCCATAGGATACGCAAGAGGCTAAACTGGAGAACGCACCAAACTCTCCCCACCCCATTCCACTTTGCCTATGGAAGAGCATTGGTCAGGGGTCAGGTGGTTCAGCACAGACTTGGGAGTTGTGTCACTGTCAAGGGAGCCTTGAACAAAAGGCTCTTCCAGTTTGGACCTAGGAGATGAACAATGACAAGGGGGAAGAGCTAGGAGTAGAAAAGTACTGAACACTGAGAGAGAAAAAGCATCTTCAAGGTTCTCCCTATCTCTTTTTAAAGAGGTCTTGCAGGGAGGTTCCTCAAAGAGGCCTCTGAATGAAGGTACCTCAGGTAGGAATTCATATATGTGTAAATGCATGGCTGGAAGTGGTGGTTGGATCCTTGAGACTGCTGAACACTGACTGTGCACCTAGTCTGCTGTGAGGGGGGTGCAGCTTAGCCCTGTGAGCCTTGACGGATAAGGCCTTTGTAATTGCTTTTGGTGTGATGTGAAAAAAAGAAAACACACGTAGGTTTTTAGCCAGGGACTAGAATCCTCAGCCATGTGGATATCTGGGGAAAAAGAGCATTAGAGACAGAAAGATCAGCCAGGATCGATGCCCTGAAGTGGAAGGACTTTTGGCATGTTTGTGGGATAGCAAAAGAGGCCAATATTACTGGAGAGGGGAAAGTAGTGGAGAACGAGGCATAACAGTGATGAAGAGTAATCATGCAGAACTTTGGGAGCCATTGCAAAGATTCTAGCTTTTGCTCTGCATGAAGTGAAGAGCTGTTAGATGGTTTTGTTTTTTTTGTTTTTTTTTTTAAGATTTTATTTATTTGAGAGAGAGAATGAGAGAGAGAGAGAGCACATGAGAGGGGGGAGGGTCAGAGGGAGAAGCAGACTCCCTGCCGAGCAGGGAGCCCGATGCGGGACTCGATCCTGGGACTCCAGGATCATGACCTGAGCTGAAGGCAGTCGCTTAACCAACTGAGCCACCCAGGCGCCCCTGTTAGATGGTTTTGAACAGTGATTAGTAGGTTCTCAATAAATATTTGTTGAATGAATATATACTTTATTTTTGCAAGTGTTCCACGTGTACGTGTGCTCATTAAGTCTAGGATTCTTGGTTTGTTGGATGTAGAACTCTCTGTGTCCAAATGCTAAGACTACCATCTCCAGCTTTGTTTTGCTTTAGATATTTTCTAGATGTATCTTCTTCCATACTTAGAGTAGCTCTGTGTCTCGATTTGTATGTCATTGCAGATAACATTGTTAGGCCTTAGCTTTTTAAAAACCTAACATACAGCCTCTGTCTTTGAGCAGTTTATGTTTACATTAAGTACAATTACAACTGCATAACAACTTATTTTTTTATTTTACTTTCTCTGTTTCTTTTCTTTCTTTTTTTCAATTTCAGCTTTTCTTAAGATAAATTTTCTTGTGCTAGTTTAAAATTTTTACATTTCAGTTTGGCTTATAGTGGTCAACCTTGAGATGTTTAGTTGTGATTATGGCCTGTGTTGATTTGTTAAACTTGTTTAGATCTCTGTTTTCCCACTACAAAAGACAAGTATATTAGCACTTTCTCTAGTGGCAAGATTTTGAGCACATAACTCTTTAAAACAATACAGGGTTAAACCGGCTACCAGGGAGTAGCAGGCTTGGGAATATCCAGAAAGCACATCATTTTTAGTCTTCTCAGTTCCTCATGGGAAGTATGATGCTTCAGTTAGTATTGCTGCTCCGTTGACTCTCCCACGTAAGTTCCTTCTAGGTTGCAGGAAGCCCTGAGTGGGAGCCTTCTAAGCCTCTTACAGCCTTAACCGTGTCTCATGTCTAGTTCCATTAGTTACTTCTTAAAATTGAATAAGGCTGGCTTTAACAAGCTAGGGCATTTGACTTTAACATCCAGGTTCCTCCTCCATTGCTCCAGGTCATGTCACGATGGGTATCACACATGAACAGTTGCACTGAAGTATGTGAAGTCATCGGTCTGGTTTGGGCCTATCACAGTAAGACAGGGTGTACAGAATAGTTTACAGACCACACTGCTTCTCCTTTTCTCTTAGCTCTTCTCTTTGTTTCTGCTCCTTTTGTCTGGACTTCTAGAACTCTCTTAGTGCGTTGACTGTCTCATGTTTTACTAGTTTGGATTCCAGATCACTGACATCGGTGGTGTTCCCTAAGGTTCTGAGCCTATTTCCTACTCTGAACTTTAGATAATTCCTTTACTTTTTTTTTTTTTTTTCTCCTTTATTGGACTTCTAGGACTCTGGATTCATGCATGACCTGATTCAACATTTGCCTGTACTTTGGGTATTGTTTAGTTACCAAATGATACCCATAACCTGATTATGATTTTTAGAAACTGAACGTACCCTTGTTTTAAACCGATCACTTGCTTCTCGGCTCAGCTTTTAAATGCTGATTCTTCAGCCCTCCTCTAGGTGTCTGGACCACATTGAAATCTCTTCGCCAGCACTCCGCTTACCGCAGCTCCTCAGCTTCCCATCCGGCACTGCCTGTACTCGCAGTGCCCACAGGTGGTGACCCAGCTCTGAGTTGGCAGTTCATAGCTGTCTAGCCAAGCAACCCAATAACTAGAGCAGTGTTGAAAGACCTTTATTTTAAGTCTATCCTGATGGGTTTATTAAAATGATAAAATTCTGATGATGAAAATTTTTTGTAAAAAAATAAATGTATGTAATATATGTTTTAGTGTATCCCCTTTTGGCCCGAGGATGCTTCTAATGCACTTCTTATTCAAGTTGAAAGAAATCAAGGCCCTCCCAAAAAGATACATTTTAACAAGCAAGCAAATTGTATTTTATTGCGTCTGGATAATGAGGTGGGTGATTTGTGTGTGTGTGTGTGTCTGTATGATTAGAGAAGCTATTATATACTTCCTCATAATTTTATTTGTATCTTTGATTTTTTTCCCTTTTCCCAAAACGGAACAAACATTTCTTTTTGTAAAGGGAAAAAGTACTAAAAAGAAACGGACATAAAATAATTTAATTGTTAAACAGAATGTTAGAGTGTCTAGAATACTAGAACATCTGGAATTGGACCCATCTGTATACACTAATTGAGATTCATGGTTTCCCAGATATGCAGTAGACAATCCTGACTTGCTTTCTTAATCATCAAAAAATGTCTTAAATTATGAATAGTCTTATTAAATGTTATTAGTTAATATTCTTTGGAAAATGATCACGTAAGAGAATATTTTTCTTTTTTTTTTTCCTAGCTTGGAGGTATTATAGCAGAAGTTAATTTGGCTGAGCATTCTACAGTTATTACATTTTCAGATTATCATGATGGAGCAGCTCCATTCCTATTAATAAATCACACCAAGAGTGATATTGTTCAGTATAATCAAAGGTAAGAAGATTATCACACATACAGTATCCCCCTGATTCTAGCAGAGTCTAGGTGATGGGATATTGACTTTATGATGACTTCTTAAGAATATAACACTGATGGGGTGCCTGGGTGGCTCAGTTGGTTAAGTGTCTGACTTAGACTCAGATCGTGATCTCAGGATCCTGGGATCCAGCCCCATGTCTGGCTCTGTACTCCGCAGGGAGCATCCGTCTCCCTCTGCTCCTCCCTGCTGCTTGTGCTAACTCACACACAGAGGCGAGTGTGCTCTCTCTCTCTCTCTCAAATAAATAAAACCTTTTATATATATGTATATATATATATAACACTGATATTGACACTAAAGCTATGTAAAACAATGTCCTCATTTTTTAAAAAAGGTGTATACTGAAGTATGGAGGGGTAAAACTGACCTTAATATATGTAGTTTACTTTTTAAAAATTGTGATGTAATTGACATAACCTTATGTTTCAGGAATGCAACATACTGATTTGATATTTGTATATATTGCACATTGATCACCACAGTTAAGTCTGATTAACATCCATCACCACACAGTTACAAATATTTTTTCTTGTGATGAGAATTAAAATTTACTCTGTTCTCAGCTTTCAAATATACAATACAGTATTATTAACTATAGCCACCATGGTGTACATTACATCCCCATGATTATTTTATAACTGGAAGTTTGTACCTTTTGAGCCCTTCACCCACTTCACATCCTATCCCCACCTCCCACCTCTAACAACCACTCTTTTTTTTTTTTGTAATCTATGTGTTTGGATTTTTTTTTTTTTTTAAAGATTTTATTTATTTATTTGACAGAGACAGTGAGAGAGGGAACACAGGCAGAGGGGGAGAGGGAGAAGCAGGCTCCCCGCTGAGCAGAGAGCCCGATGTAGGGCTCGATCCCAGGACCCTGGGATCATGACCTGAGCTGAAGGCAGACGCTTAACGACTGAGCCACCCAGGCGCCCCTGTTGTTTTCTTTTTATGTTTTTGGCTTTTTAGATCCCTCTCACAAATATATACAGGTCATACAGTGTTTGTCTTTCTCTGACTTACTTCACTTAGCATAATGCCCTTGAGGTCCATCCATGTTGTCACAAATGGCAAGATTTTGTTCTTCTTTATGGATGAATAATAACCTGTTGTATATATACACCATATTTTCTTTATCCCTTCATCCATCGATGGATGCTTACGTTGTTTTCATGTCTTGGCTCTTGTAAATACGGCTGAAGTGATGTGGGGGTGCAGATTTCTTTTTGAGTTAGTGTTTTTATTTCCTTTGGATAAATATCCAGAGGTGGAATTGTTTGATCAAATGGCAGTTATATTTTCAATTTTTTGAGGAACCTCTGTTTTCTCTATTTGCCACAGTGGCTGCACCAGTTTACATCCCCACCAGCAGTCATTCTCATTAACACTTCTTGTCTTTTCTTGATAATAGCCATTCCAGTAGGTCTGAGGTGATATCTCATTGTGATTTTGATTTGCATTTCTCTGATGATTATGGCATTCATTACTTTGAAATGCTTCAAAAAAAGAAAAATGGAAGAACTGAAGCAAGTATGGCAAAAGCTTGATCATTGTAGAATCTGCTGAAGAAATGTCAGGGTTTATCATAAGAACTTGGTCTATTTTTTACATTTTTCATATTTTTAATGAACATAATGTAAATATTGAAACTTTAGGTTTTTTTCAAACAGTAGATACCCTCTTCTTGCTGGTGGGTGTGGGAGGAAAGGACTGCTACCTTTTTAAGCTTCCCTAAAGACTGTATCTAAATCTTGATTTTTTTTCCAGGATTACTCTTAACATCATTTGTTTCAACTTGCTATGATATCATATCCTCCTAGTACCATGACCATTTATGTAACTTTCTGTTCCTCTTCTTATTTGGTCCCAGCCTCTCTTGAATTTATTTTGTCTGCTCTTTTTGTTTTCATCTGTTGCTTGTCAGTGAGCCTATATTTATGAGTTCATTTATGCTTTCCTTCCACTGCTAATGTACACTTCTAGCCACTGGTTAAAATCAAATAAGTATTGAGTAAGGACCACAAGGCTGGACTAGCAAGTATCTAGAACTTCTGCTGCCCTATCAGTTCTCTCATTTATGGAAGATGTTGAGAAACAGGAAAGCCTGTGTTCTATGATTATCCCTATTATAAAAATAATGGATTGATCATAACCGATGAAAATAAATAATTTCTTATTTGCCCTTCAATCCATGTACCCCCAAGTAGCCTTTCTCATAGTGTTAACAGAATTAAGACCTACAGAGAATGACTCGAGTAACTCTTTTTTTCCATTCACTCAAGGATAGTGTATGGCTGGTAACATTTTAGATCCACACGGAGGAGCTAAGTTATTTCTTTATATACTATGAATGATGTAGGGCATCATAGTTTCTCTGACAACTGGTTGAGCCTGGCTGAAGCTGAACTAGAGACTTCTCAGTCTTGTCTGTGGCCTTGACCTTGCAGTTGTCTTCATACAGTTCAGATATTAAGTGTTTAGAAATCTTACCTATTCCACTGTTAAAATTGTGAAAGTAAGGGATATGGAGAAGCTGGAATGTTATCCTATTTTGAAATTCTGAAACCTAAAAAAATTGCAACCTTAATGGAAATTTATAAAATTAACAACCTGCAGTAACAAACACTAGATTTAGATTTAGAATTATTTGTAGTTATTAAATCAAGAACCTGAAACTGTGGTTTAAAAGAATATTGAAGGGCTCCTGGGTGGTGCAGTCGGTTATGCATCTGACTCTTGGTTTCGACCCTGGTCGTGATCTCAGGGTCGTGAGTCCGGCTCCCTGCTCAGTGCAGAATCTGCTTGGGATTCTCTCTCTTCTTCTTCCTTTGCCCCTCCCCCACACCTGTTGTCAAATAAACAAACAAATTCATTCATTCATTAATTCCAGAGTCCTGTGTGCCAGTGATCCCCCAATCACTTACTCCAACATGGACCACTTCTCTTGAGCTTCAGGCTGCTACCTCCTCCTCATTATCACATAATTAGTAGTTGTAATATTCTGATAATTAATAATATCACATACTTAATAAATCACAAACTATTTCTTTTTAAATCTCCTCTTGTCTAGTCTTTCCTGTAATTATTGTAGTTCAAACTCCCAAATTTCTTGTTTGAGTAGATTTTTTTATCTGCATCTCTATAGCCTTGTCTCTACTAAATCCCCCATTTGCCACCAGAGATAGGTTTCCAAAAACACTAAATACAGTCCTGTCTCTCTCTTGTTTAAAGTTTTTTAGTGACTTTCCATTTCTTTTAAAATAAAATGTTTCTAGGCTACTTTTCTCAACATTTTTCTTTCCCCATACTTAAGACAAGCTCAAGTCTTTGTTTCCTGAATGCTCTCTGTCCTTCCATGTGTTTTCACCCTTTGGTGCTCCTTTCTGCCAGAAAAGCTCCCAATGCCTGTGATCCCTTCCCTCACTACCTTAATCTATGCACCAGTTTTCAGTTGTACCTTTTTTGCGGATGTAGATTAAAGCATTTGTCACATTGCATTGTCATTGGCTTGTGAGTTTAAGACTGTACACATGTATAGTTAACATTCTGAGGACTGTGATTTTATTTTCTTTGAATTCCCATTGCCTAAGATAAATTGAGATGAATTTTCTTTGTAAGAAATATTCTGCAGTGAGTTAAACAAGATTACAATTTCTATGAATTAAAAGCATTTCTAGATATTTTTAAACCAACTTCTCATTTATTACATCTGATATTTTTTTCATGGAATAAACAATAACTGTAGGGCTATTTTCTCCTCTGATTTTCCTTTCTTGGCTTTGTTGTTGTTGTTCATATGGTGGTTGTTTCCTGCAGATAAAAATTATAGCTGTCAATTTTCTTAATTCCGTAGAAAAATTGTGAAAAGAAAACCATAATTCTGAAATCCCAGCACTGTCAACATTTTTTTTTAACACTGTCAACATTTTGTTGCATTTCTTATCACACTGTTTTACTGTTGCTATCCATCTATCTATATTTCTGAATCTCTTTGTTTTTAATAGCTATTGTGAGCATGTAAATTTGCTTTAAAACAGTTTTTAATAAATGCTTGATATCCCATCATTTAGATGCATTATAAATATTCTGGAATTTTGGAAATATTTTGGAATTTGAATTTTAGGTATTGTCTAATTGTGAAATGTTAGAATCTGTCTCTTTTAATAAAGACCTTTAACCCATTTGTAGTCCTTCTAATAACTAAAGATTCCTTGCCTTTTTTTGGTAATACAGATTATTTTCTTCTAATGATGATTTGGAAAATACACATTCTGTTTTTGTTGTAGATAATTACTTTTTTGTTTTTGAGGATTTCGATGCATTTTAAATTTTGAGTGAAACAGAATCTACTAATTGACCCAAGGGGGAGAAAATGGAATACTTGCACATTTTCAGCTTCTCTTCCCGAATTCCCAGTTTCTTATGAATATAATTTGGAAGTTTTGACTCAAATTATATAAAATGGTTAGTTTTTCAAAAATGTGTTTATTCAAGGCTTTTTTTTTTTTTTTAAAGATTTTATTTATTTATTTGAGAGAGCACATGAGAGGGGGGAGGGTCAGAGGGAGAAGCAGACTCCCTGCTGAGCAGGGAGCCTGATGCAGGACTCTTGTCCAGGGACTCCAGGATCATGACCTGAGCCGAAGGCAGTCGCTTAACCAACTGAGCCACCCAGGCGCCTGCTTTTTTGGCTTTTGACAAGTTGATTTGACTAGTTGCTTAATATTTTTATATCCCAATTTTTTTTTAAGTTTTATTTATTTAAATTATTTTATTTTTTTTTAGATT